CCAAATATGTACAAATACAGGATGCTCAAGTTTTCAGTACGTTCTCAGGAGCCTTCAGTGTCAGTATTGGCATCTGGTTCCTACTGCAGTTTCCAGATGTGGAAGTAGGTTGCAGTGTTTGGGACAAAGGAAGCTTAGGAACTGTACACTGCAGAGCAGCAAGGCATTCTCAGAATATAGAAGGGCAAAAAGGGCTTTTCAGGGAATGATTTCAAGGCATTAATAATAATAAAATTCATGTAACAAACCTATTTTTCTGGCTATCCCTCCAACAAGGGAGAAAATCAGTTATGTTTGATTAAGGTATTTGTAGATTCTTCTTCCCCAGATCCCAAAGTAATTGTTACTGGCAGGTTTTATTGTTATTTTCCTGAATTGATTTCCACATTTGTAATGTGTTTTGAAATCTGTTACGAGGTACAGGTTGACTTTATACACAGATGTACATCAGTACCTACATTCTGAATCAGTCTGTGCAGTACCTTGGCATCTTTTCATGGAGATTATTGGAAATAATCCCTTTACAGTTGGAATGCAGAGTAGCTCAGGTTCCACTGTGTGTTTACATAAACCTTCTAACAAAATGCAAACAATACCTGAACCCATCAGATGTTCTCCCTTCTCTGCCAGTGTTGTGTGGTTTAAACATAGTCAGGTTTTCATAATCCTCATCTGATTTTGATATACAAGTAAATTTAATGTAATGGTATTTCCTGTAAGTCATTTATAGTAACTGAGGGATTGACATTCATAAAGCTTCTGGGAAGTCCTAAATATTACATTGACAAGGTATTCAGCTACAGTTTTAGGCAGCTGAAAAGTTATTTAAGGTAACGAAGATCCCGGAGGAAACACCTGAAAGCAGTTCATGTCAGCTGCAGGTGATTAGGTGCCAAATTGAAGGTTTGACACTTTATTTCAAGATTTTTCTGTGTTATGGGGAAAAAATACCTGCAATACTTAGAAGGGCACAGGTCTTTCCTTTTGTTACAAAAGGTTATATGACATTGCTGTTTATTTATAGTTCTGTTAATAGATGCCTTTTATTTAAACAGTTATTTTAATTTCAGCACAGAAGTCTCAGTGAATATAGTAGAAATATTCTCAAAATATAAAGTGTTCTGCTGGCTGAATACCACAGTGCTCAGCATTTTTCACACCTCAGCCTTAATGCAGCCACAGCTGAAAATAACATGTATTCTGTATATGTTCTATACATTTTATTTGGGAAGATGATGTCCTAACCAAGGCATCCCTCAGGCAGCTGGAAAGAAAAGATTTCTGGCAAAGTACCTTTAAAAAGGAGGCAGTTCCTGTGGAGTGTGACAGGAGTTATGTTACAGGTTTGCATTCTTCTAAAAGGTTTCTAATTTATATAAATAGAGTTAAAAGATTAGGTCTTAATTAACTTTGTGTTGAATTTTTCTCATGGAAAACTGCTGCAGCTGCCACTGTCTCTGGTGGCAGTGGTTTTATGCCTGGAAAAAGCCAAGGAAAGGAAGAAATTCAAACCCTCAAACTCTAGTAGGGTTAGAACTGATAGAGCTAATACTGAATTAATCCAGCTGAAATACTATGTTCGTGGGCACTTGGCTGAGCAATGTCACTTTATACTACACCCAAAGGCATACATAATTTTAAATGCCCCCAGCACTGTGTTTTCTAATGCATTAGATGCTTCAGTCTGGTTTGGGTTCTGATTTGGAACTAGAAGTTGTACCCCCAGGAAGGATCAGGAATGGCTGGTGCTCTCACACTCCTATCCTTCCTTGCCTCTGGGTAGCAGTGTTGACTCAAACCTGTGGTTCTGACTAGCCTTGTTCCTTGTGTAATTCATTAATAAGTGCAAAGAATTTATTATGCAACTATGCAAAATTAGTAGCACTTTATTTGTTCTTGTTCTGAACCGACAGCTCAAGGTATTCCAGCAGACTTTGCAGAGGGAGGGGGAGAGTTTGGAAGTCATTCCTTGTGCCTTTCTGGTGGTTTCTGATAGTTTGAATGTTTGAATATGAGGGGGATCAGGCAGAGTACAGAGCGTGTTCAAAAACCTGCAGTGATAGTGGAGTGGATTCTCAGCATCCTGTCAGCTCCAACTCTCAAACTAGGGTGTAACAAATCTGAGTAAAATAAAAAGATAAGTCTGAACATGGTGCTGAATGTTCTTAGAGACTGATCTGCATTTTGCATTTACCCTATTTTTGGTGCCTTTGTTAGCACAGAGAGTAGTGGATCTGGTAAGAAACCTGGACTCTGATAAACACTGTTGGAAGACACAGTTTGTGTGTTTTGGAGCTTTAGTCTTAGGGAAGTAGGTTGGATGTGCTGCAGAGCTAGAGCTGAGTGGTTGGTGAAATAAAAAGCCTCAGTGCTCAGGATGGAGGGTTGGCTGCTTTGGCTTGGAGAGGCTTCTCAGCTTGGATTTTATTGGAGATCTGGCTCACATTTGTAGTGAGAGTGATTTCTGCAGCTTGGTATTTAAGGAATTGTGTGAGCTGTGCTGCAGACAGGAATGTCAGGGTGTACATGCCTGAGTGGGAACATCACAGTGTGCTGATGCTGTTTGCTTGAAATAAAATTCCTATTTGTTCCTCGGGATCTGCCAGAAGCTTATGAGGAATGTAGGAAGTCCCCAGACCTTGATCTTTATTATTTTTGCTCTTGAAAGCTGAGCTTGTGGCAGTGACTGGCACCGGGGGGAGCTTAACATTTCTGTCACTGCATCTTCCCCAACAGAGCTGTAAGCCCAGAGAGGGCAGCAGGACACAGCTCAGAGCTGGATGGGGTTGGACCTGCCAGGCAGGTACAACAGGTCCATTTGCTCAGGTCTGAAGAAAAGCAGTACTGGAGTGATGGAGTTTTGTTGTTCCCTTTCTAGAGCTGAGCATGATTTAGCTTGGACCCAGTGCTAGAAATGATCCATCTTTCACTGATGAAGTCTTTATTGCTGAGCATGGGCAGCAATACTCATCTTTTAATCTGGCATATTGGAGCAAAGTAAAGTGGCGTAACACTGTATTTGTATACCTCACCCCCCCATAATTAGTTGTATAAACTCTTAGTCTGAAGCTATTTGATTTTCTAACCTTAATTATTAATTCTGGTGTTACATGGTTCTCAGTTGAAAAAGTCAGTGGCATGCATTCCCTCCCCTCCAAAACCAGATCAGTCTTTTGTCTTTCAGGCTCTGGTTTTGTGTATTTCTCATTCTCACAGTGTTTATGGGTAGCTGTGAATGTTGCATGGAATTGGACATGATTTGTTCGTGCCACACCACTTTGCAAGAGACTTGAAGGGGTCCCTGTGTGGTCCCAGACAGCAATTTTTTCCTTCAGTTCAGTAGCAGCCAAGCAAGATTCACAGTCAAACCCTGTAGGAAGCTTTGGAGAATCAGGAGGATTCTGTGCAATATCCTAAAGACAGGAGTTGAAAACAACTCCTTTACAAATAGCTTTGCTCTCTGCCTCAGCAGGCTGACCTGCTGCACATGAAGCCTTTGCAGGCATTATCCCCACTTGATCTTAGACCACATTTCTCATGGGTATTTTATGTCTTACAGCCTTTTTATGTTAAAGGCTGTCATCCAGTGCAAGGAGACTAATGGGCTTTGATTAAATAATTGGACTTTGCTTTCATTCTGTATTTCTTGTATGTGCAGAAATCTATTATTCAAGGGTTTTATTATATGAATTGGTTTGTTTTTCTTCTTGGGGCCAAGATAGTTGCATGGAAATGTCTATGACCCATTTTGTCCCATGTCCCACTCCCTCCCCCCTTACCATATAAATTAATGATCAATTTACTTCTTCTACACTGGGGATAGTGACATTTCTTTCCCTCATGACAACTGAAATACGAGGAAACCTTTTATTTTGTGGAATTTAATTACTGCTGCAGAGTACTGCAGGATACAGGATGTTAGCACCAAGGTGGTGTAGTTGTTACCTGTCATTTAACTAACCTTTACTCTCCAGATTCTTCTCAGGCTGACCATTTCCTTTAGGTCTTTTTCTGTGGTAGGATTTGAGGCTTACAGAAGAGTAACTTGCAGTACAGGACAACAAACTGTTCTACACAATGTGTAGAACCATTCAGAGATGGAATGAAACTAAAGCAGCAGCTCCTGAGTCTCAACCATCAGTGCCTTTGGTTCAAAACACCTGGTAGTGGTGGAGCAGTTCATTGACTTAACTCCTGAAGTGAAATGGTTATAGTTGCTTGTGGTTTTTCTTTGGGGTGAAGTTAGTGAGAGCTGTCTCTAAAATAAGGTTCCGTTGTGGCTGGCCCAGGGCCAAAGCCAACACCCATAAAACTACACAGCCATTGAACTGGACAGAAAAATTGCTGCACATGTACCACTGCAGCTCTGTACATTTTTGGTTGATGATAAAGAAGCATGAAATGTGTTTTGTTTTCTTTTTTTCTTGTGGCTTTGTGGCAAGGAATATTTAAGCAAATAGTTAGCTGTGACGGGAGGTCATTCTAAGGTAGGATGAAGTGAGAACATTTTCAATACCATTCATTTCCAGGGGCAAATCCATGGTTCACCTTAGACCATTGTCAACTTTCTGTAATATTCATGTGCTTTTATATCCTTTAATGGAGATTCTCTTGAAGTGTTAGGGAAACATCTTTCCTGTTCCTTTGTTCTTCCTTTTCTTCTAGAATTCATTGCAGAGTGAATTTTGAAGACTTTCTCAAGACCCCTATTTTTCCTACTTGAATCCTGGTTCAAATCCTGTTTATTTAAGATGAACTTACCAATTGAAACAAGTAGGAAAACACATCTGTGAGACAGTGCCAACATTGTCAATTATTTGTCTAGTCCCAAATCATTCTGCTGTGTGTGGTGATCAGTCAGGCAATGATGTGCTCAGTAGCCACACGTGACACAACAGAAGGGCTTACATTTGGCCTCTCAGGCTCTGGAATCATTACCTCCTTGGAGGTTATTAACACACTAAGCAATCTGTTTCCCTTTTGTCTCCCCTGTCTCCCAGTGAACACTTGTCGTGTGCCTTCACATTCTTCCTGCACGGGGAAAGCAATGTGTGCACGAGTGTGGAGATCGCTCAGCACCAGCCCATCTACCTGATCAACGAGGAGCACATCCAGATGGCCCAGTCCTCTCCCTCACCCTTCCAAGGTACGTGAGCTGGGGTCAGAGCTTGGTGTGCTTCACCTCACTGCTGTGTGCCAGAGGCCACACTGGTGGTGTTACCTTCAGAGGTGAATCAAGTAACTCTTCAAATGGGTTAAACTTCTACTCAGGAAGTTGTGGATATAGGGAAAAAGTTGTTAGGACTTCAGCATTGTAGGCAGCCATACATAGTATGGGGATTTTCCACAACTTTCTACCTGTTAACACTGTGTTTAAAAGTACATGCAATTAATAAGTAATGCAAAGAAATTAATTATTTTTGTTTAAAAGGACTTACTCTTTAGAAAGTGAGTGCACTGATTTGATTTTCTAACATGGTGTCTGAGTTGAACTCAAATCTGTAACTTCAGTGTGACATGAATGCAAACACTGAGCTTATCTAACTTGAGTCCTCTTGATTTGTACATTATCAACTAATTACTGTTTCATCTTAAAAAACGGGGGAGGCTGTGAAAATGTATCAGAAGCAAAGAAAAACTTGAAGTATCTATGACTATTTATTTGCCAATGCAAGAAATGAGAATTTTAGAGTATTAATTTAATGGCTTATTGAATTCATGATGCAATTGGTGTGTGATGCTCTGCATCAAAAAAAAAAAAAAAACTTGGGAATTTTGAGTCATTGAGTTATGCTGTCTTTACTGCAGTCTGAAATTATAATTTCAAAGCAATTAAACCAAGGAATCTTCATAAAATTCAACATATAGTAAAGAAACACCCAGAGACACATAAAATGATCACTTATAGAGATGTTAATTTATAGAAGCTTTATTGAAAAACATTGTGTTTCTAAATGTAAAGCTTCGACGGAGGCTCAGGCACTTCAATTGTAGAGGAGTTTATTTCAGTGAGCTAAATTCATTACTCTCTCAAATCAAATATGACTCAAAGCAAAATTGAGTCTGAATGCAAATACCTGTTGTTAAGCAACTAGTTTTCCTTATTTGTGGTGACTGTAGTCTTCCAGGATGGTTTTTATAATGAAGTCTTAGATGTTCCTGTCCTCTGTTCCTTCCATGGATGCTCATCCCTTTGCCACAGTGAGTGCTGTTTCATCCACTGGATTAGTGGAAATTGATTCACTGTGGTAATTATTAACCTGAATTGCACCAAGGGTCCCTTTTGAGCTCAGGAGCTCTGGCTGTGCAGGAAACCAGTGCAGTGGGATGTGCTTTCAGACCCACACTCTTCTCAGGCTTTGCAGTAGCTTTCCCTGGAGCCAGATCCTTAAACCTACAGGCGAATGAATGGAAGAGGGGCTCAGGGCAGAGAGGCAGAGGTTGAAGCACACATCTGTAGGGACTCTTCTTTGTTCCCTTGCAGTGCTGGTGAGCCCCTATGGGCTGAACGGGACCCTGACGGGGCAGTCGTACAAGATGTCAGACCCAGCGACTCGCAAGCTGATGGAGGAGTGGCAGTACTTCTACCCCATGGTGCTGAAGAAAAAAGAAGGCATGAAAGAGGAAGAGGAGTTGGGATATGACAACGATTTCCCTGTGGCAGTCGAAGTCATTGTTGGTAAGTTTCAATATTCTGCCTGAAGGATTATTTTCCTCCTCATGGTTTGAAAAAAAAAAATCTAATTAATCAGAAACAGCCATTATAATTTTCCTATATTCTCTTGTAGCTCTCTTGACACTGGAACATCTGACTAGTTATCTTGCCTCAAGCTTTTGTACTCCCTGTATCCCACATGCTATTATTCACAGTATCGAGCTGCTTGTTTCGACTCTGCACTGGTTAGAGAGGGTTAGATGTATATTAGTATGGAAATTCCTCAGCTCTTTATGTTTCAGATAATAAGTTTTGTCAAATTTACATTGAAAACACGTGGATATAGCTGAGGCTGCTGGATATGATCACGTATGTTTAAGACTTATGGTATTCCATCTCTCTGCAGGTGGTGTGAGGATGGTGTATCCTTCAGCCTTTGTTCTCATCTCCCAGAGTGACATCCCTGTGTCACAGAACACTGCCAGTGCTGGAGGCCATATAAATGTGGGACAGCAGGGGCTTGGAAGCGTGAAGGATCCTGCCAGTACCTGTGGGATGCCACTCACTCCCCCCACTTCTCCAGAGCAGGCTGTTATGGGTAAGCAGTGAACTTGGGAGGCTGGTCAGACTTTCATGTTGGCTTGGCTCATGAGGAGTATGTGAACAGTGGCACATTAAAGACAGGCAATGGACTGAATGTTAGGGGAGGACTTTCTGTAGGTCTGTGGTAAAGGAAAGCTATTGCTTAAAACACCCCTGAAGATAACACACCTTTACACAATTTGTGTCAGTGCATCATCTTTGTGCAGTGGTGCACTACCTGAGGGAATGGATTCTGACAGTGTTTTAGGCAGATTTTGCCACTTGATGAAATGTTGGTTTCCTTGTTGGGATGGGAGGAAGGTGTTGATTCTTTGTGGTACAGAGTACAGTGAATTTCCCCAAAAGAGGGGAATTTTGGGTTAGATATGAGGATGGAATTGTTCCCTGTGAGGGTGCTGAGGCACTGGCACAGGTTGCCCAGAGAAGCTGTGGCTGCTCCATCCCTGGAAGTGTTCCAAGCCAGGTTGGATGGGGCTTGGAGCAACCTGGGCTAGTGGAAGGTGTCCCTGCCCATGGACAGGGCATGGACACGATTCTCACCACTGAACGACCTTCTGCTTGAACTTGTAGGTTTGTTGAACTTGTTGGTCAGTGCTTATCAAATTTCACAGAGCGATAGAAGTGTTGACAGCATGAATTTCCTGCAAGTTTCTGTGGAACTGTGCAGCCTGATGGAGTTAAAGGGTCCTTGTTATACGCTCACTGAGGTCTAAGGAGCTACCAAGCTTAGCTTTTATTGGATAGTTAGGTTGCATCAGGAGGATCAATCTTAGAATCATTAAGGTTGGAAAAGACCTCCAAGATCATTAAGTCCAGTCTTGATGCAAATCCAAAGAAAACTAGTCAACATTGACTTCAGTGCTGTGGAAATACATGTCTGGATTCACTTTTCCATGAATGGTGCCTATAGGTGAATGCAAAGTGTTTAGTATTTGCTGCTAATGATAGAGAATGTGAGATGTAAATTCACTTGGAATAGTGTTTCTCAAAGGAACTGGTATTTAAAATAAGCCTAAAGCTCATTAGTAACTACCTGAAGACAATCAGCTTTTAAATAACAATCTCTGTCCAAGTATTGAGGCATATTTTAATGTGCTATTGTATTGCTAAACTTTGCAGAACCCTGTTAAATTTGTACAGTATCACAAGGGAGATTCTACTTCTGAATGTTTATAAACTATCAGTTCTATCAAAGTGTTCATGTTGTCCAATGTGGCAGTCACAGCTCCTGTTTGATCTCTGCTGTTGTGTGAGGGCAATATGAATTGGGATCAGAGGGAGGTCTCTACAGCAAACAGTGAAAGGATCCCTTGATTTTTATATCAAAAACCATTTTAAAAGACCTTGAAAAACTGGAGAAATGGATTGGAAAAACATGCCATGCAGTTCAGAAGCAGTAAATGGGATACATACACTGGATTAGTCTGAGGCACATGGGTAATACTTCAGTTCTGCCCAATGCTAGTTAAAATGTGGGTACAGTGCCACATCCAGTTTTGAACACTGAAAGATGTGGACAAATTGACTGGAGTCCAGAGGAGTGCACTGAGAGTGATCATGGATTTTGCAAACAGGACCTACAGGAAAAGATGGAAAGAATTGAGGTTGTTTAGTCTAGAGAAGCGAAATCTGAGGGAGAGACAATGTAACAGCCTTCAGAGACATAAAAGGAGAAAAAGAATAGGCTTTTTTCTGCAACGAGTATTTAATGAATCCAAACTGGAGCAAAGCAAAACTAGGTTAAACAGGAGGAAAAACTCGCTCTGAGGAAGGATAACGAAGTGTTACAATAAATTGGCTATTGGGAAGCTCCAGAACTTCCATTAGCAGAGAGGTGATGGTTGGGGGCTGCTGGGGGCACTGTATGTTCGTTTTGAAGGAACAAATGAGTAAATATGTTGATCCAGCTTTGAAGCAGGGAATGGACGAGATGATCTCTTCAAGTCTCTTTTAACCATGTTTTCCATGATTGTGTCTGAACAGTGTAAGGAGGCAAACTGCTCCTGGAACTGGGGAATGGCATTTTCAGGAGTGGAACCAGACTGCACCATAGAGCTTGTGCAGTGACCTCTGTGCTGCTTGTGTCCTCCACGAGTTATACCATTCCATGACATAGATCTTTCTGTGTGTTTCAGTACTGTGCTAGTGATTTCCATGGATAAAAATTAGTGTCAAGTGTAGGAGAACAAAATGGTTTTGCCTGCTGTGAAGTTCTGTTTCATCTTATGCCACATACTGCTGTACTGTATAGTATAAAATATTGCATAATTACAGAAACCAGTAATTAAGGCACTGCAATGTAAGTCCAAAACCCTGGTAGGTCCTTGGTTATCCTCTCGTGCTTCCTCTTCTTCCCTCTCCATCATACTTTTGTTTTTTTCTGACTTATGCAATGCATCTGTGTGCACGTTCTGTTTGTCTATATGCACACATTCCTTCACCAGAGGAGGACAGATTTGCTAATTTCGAAGTTTTGACTTGTGTTTTTGATCATCTCTCGAGCTCCTAATGTCATAGAGCATTTGAAAGCTAGTGAAATCAATGGTTAGAGCCACAAGCCTCAGTATATCCAGGGATTTAGGGGGTTGACTTTACCAAAAGATAATCTGAGAAAGTCTAACTGGTGAAAGAAATACATAACCTGAAGACTCAAAGAAGATCCAGGGCTGGGCAGCCTGTGCACAATTGCTAGAGTTGTATTTTGAAAGTCACCTAATGGAAAGCAGCAGAATTCCTGTGTTAGCTGCAGGGATGTACAGCAGTGAATCCTTTCAGCAGTTCACACTTAAGGCTGCTTAAATTGCGTCAGGCAGGAGGACGAAGTGTTCTGTACACTGGTCTGACCTTGTTAAAATGCAGCACATCCTTCCTCACTGTTCCAGCCCAGCCCAGAGCAGTGTTACCTAGTCCCCAGGCCAGATGGACCCAAAGCTCCCTCTACTGCTCTAGCTCGGGTTTGGCAAGATGATTGTGTTGGAGTTCAGTTCAGCTTAAACAAAAACACATTTCATAGGAGAAAAAGAAACATCTGCTCATGCAATAGCTGCTGAGGCTTCTGTGGCACAGACAGGAAGAAATGCAGTGCAGAGCATAAAGCAGAGTCTCCAGGCTATTAACATGTTGAAGTAGTATCTTCATTTGTTATCTCCTTGATAATCATACAGATAACAGATACTGAGAACCTCACATATTATCTTAGTAGTGTATGTACTAATGATCAAGTGTTGAACATTTCTGTAGCATATTGCATCTCTATTGTAAAATGTTAGAAAGCAAGTTTTGATTCTGGTATTTCAGTTCAGGCATATTATAAAGAAATAGCATAGAATCACAGAATGGGTTGGGTGGGGTCCCATGCCACTCCCTGCCATGGTCAAAGACACCTTCCACCTTCCAGGGACATCCAGGGTGCTCCAAGCCACATCCAGTCACACTTCCAGGGATGGGGCAACCACAGCTTCTTGGGGCAACCTGTGCCAGTGCCTTAGCACCCTCACAGGGAACAATTCCTTCTCAATATCCCACCTAGCCCTGCCCTCTGGCAGTGGGAAGCCATTCCCTGTGTCCTGTCCCTCCAGGCCCTTGTCCAAAGTCTCTCTCAGCTCTCTTGGAGCCCCTTCAGGCACTGGACGGGGCTCTGAGGTCTTCCCAGAGCTTTCTCTTCTCCAGGCTGTCCCCCCCCCAGCCCACCCAACCTGGCTGCATAAGAGAACATCAAACTAATCCATTTATTTATTCCGTGGGATTTTATATTGAGTATAAAGAACTGATCCTTGCTTTGAAACCATCTACAGAAATTACCAGTTTTCGTAATAGTTGCTTTTAGAAACATCTGTATTGTAATACATGTAGTCTTTAAAGCAACTCCCCAAAGACTGCAGAAATCCGAGTTTGACATCTAGGATAACTGTGAAAAAGCTCTGTCTGCACCATTTCTGGATGAGTTAGCCCAAGGCTGTAGGGGCTATCTAAAATACCTCCATTTATTATGGAGTATGTTTTAGGTATCTGTATAAATCTACATCTAGATGTATCATATCCAGAGTGTCTTGCATCATGTGAGGTGCAGTGTACACACAACTGTGTAGCCCATATATGTGGTACAGCCCAGTGCCATCTTTGTTACCTCAGTGTTGCTCTGATGTGTAGCTCAATCAGTGTTGTAATGATACTTTAAGCATTCTCTGGTGGATGTGACTGTAGCAGTCCAGGAAGAAATACCAAGTGTGAATATGAAGAACAGCTCTGACACTAATGCCTGATTTCTCTTGCAGGAGAGAGTGGATGCTCTCAGAGCAGTATCAGCCATTCAGCTGTGCAGGAGGGAACAGTCAGTGTCCACAGTCCAAAGAAATCAAGCAAGATTACTCCAAAATTTCACAATCGTATGGTTCACCGTGTGTGGAAGGAATGCATTCTCAACAGGTCACAGGCCAAGTAAGGCACCACTTCTGGTGGCTTTGCTTATTAATAACACATAATACACAGTGAAAATTGTTACGGCTTTGCCGTAGATAATGTTCTTCCTCACAGAATTCTTTTGCTAGTAATCAAAGCTAATGATGCTGAACAGCATTATCAAAGAAAATTAGTTACTGTGTTGAGCTGAGAGCTCTGACACTTCACATTGTATTTGCAATTGTGTATCTTCATTGTGACAGTCCTTGAGGCAACAAATCTATAGTATGTGCCTTCAGCTAGATGCTCTCACATTTATTGATTGCAGCTTCTATCTCCAGTTGTGGTTGCAACACTGGAAGCTGTGTGACTGCAGAACAAATAGTGTACATTTGATATTTAGGACTCTAATGTTTGTAAAGCATTACATTACATGAGTTGGGCTACAGTTTCAATCAACAAGGATATGGTAAATTGATGTTGGTATCATAGGCCTTTATTACTGGAGATTTAAAGTATATCATGGCATGGTGTGCCCTGAAATCTTTATTTTCCCCTCTTTCCATGCAATTTCCTCATTGGATATGTCAGAAGAATTTCCAGATTCAGTTTCTATTGTTTGCCTCTTGCTTCTTGTGCTTAGACTCCAGGCAGAGCTATCTATGCAGAACTGGGATCTTCCTCCCACATAAACTATAACTGTTAAGGAGTAGTACAGGGAACTACTCTCTGTTTCAAAGGTCAAGTAGAGGGAAGGAATTTGAGGGAAACATATGTGAATTTATGCCTCTGCATTTTAGAAGTTTTGCTTTACAAAAGGTGATGATTACTAAAATAATTATTTTCTCTTCTTCAGGAGGAATCAAATTACAACTGCAAATTTGGAAGAGGAAGTTCCTAACAATACTGTTTCGTGGGATTTTGTGGATCCAGTCCAAAGAGTCAGTTGTTCTTGTTCCAGGTGAGCTTTGCAAAGAATAAGCATTTGGGAAGAGCTGTGTTTGATTCAGACAGAGGTGCACTTACAAAGGGAGATATGTTTTAGCTGAGACATGAGGAAATTCTAATATCCAAGCCGTGATCATCACTCATATTTGGGTGATTAATATGCATCTCATATCATTGTCACTTGCAAGAGTCAGTTCAAGTGGAAAAATTATCCCAGCCTAGAGTGGGGGTTAGGATCACTCAAACAGTTCTTGTTCATAATGAAATCATCCTTCAGGCTTTTCACAGCTTCAACACTTGGAGTGGTTAAGGCTCATGATGAAGAGGGGCAGAAGCTGCCTAAGCTTCTGAGCATCCTGAGTGAGGAATAGTGCTACTGCCCCTGTTTGGAGAAGGAGGAGAAACATCCCTAAAAATCACTTCACATACCTCTAGTCAATCTGCCAAGACACCAAAAACCACCCAAGAGAATATAAAACTTCTGCAGTCACTGTCAGCTGATCAAGAAGAAATCACAGCTCACCTCCACAAACACTTCAAGAGTTTATTAAATTGTCTGTCATCTTTGATAGATGCTTGAAATTCCAGTGCTTCTCACTCAGGAAAGGCAAACTACCACCACCACCAATCTGCTTAACCCTTCTTACAGCTATCAGACAGATATTACAGGGTTAGGGAAAAACCAGTGTCCAGTGAAATAGTCCTGTGACTCTGCTTCTGCTGAAATTCTGATTTCCCAAGGTCACCATCTCCTTTAAGATAGGTCATAAAATCATTTTTCCCAAAAGAAGTTATTCCATGAGTATGAAGTTCTTCTTTGTGTAGTTAGAAGAGATGGAAGGGATTGTGCATCATGCAAGGGCAGTGTTCAGCCTGGAGACTCTGTGCTGTGTCCCAAGTGAAAGTTGCTTTTCTGCAGCTCTTTATCCCTGATTATATGTTGTTTGTATTTACACACTCAAGAATGTGGAACATAAATGTTTTGTCAGAATGACAAGCTTTTCTATGGAAAACTGAGGTCCAGCTTTGCCTGGAAAGCATGGGGAGTCAGTAGTGGGCAATGGAAGGCTGATTCTGTGGACAGGTTCAGCTGCATTTGGAATTTCACACTGTCTTTTCATTCCTCCAGTGATAACTACATCTTGCTGGAGTTAGTAAGCACAGCAACTGGGAAATGAAAACATTATCCCTAAAATGAAGGCAGTACCTGATTTCAAACAGCAGTGAACATTTTCTGTGTAGCTGCAGAAACTGGACAGCTACTGTCATAGAGATACTGTTTAGTTGTAACTGTACCCATTCTAGGTACAGTGAAAGCCAAGATATGGTCTTAAATCTGGAGTCTTAAAGGACCATCTGATACTCAGCATCACATTCAATCTCCTGTGGACCCAAGTTGGTGTGTGAGGAACAGAATGTCTAAAATAATTCTCTGCAATCGGTTAAAATAGGGTGAATGATGGAGAATTAAGTCAATGAAATGTTACAAGGACATGCTTAAGGCAAATCTCCAGTTACCAGGGCATTAGCTCCACATTAGGGGTGATTGCAGCCACAGACCATCTGCTGCAGCAGGGAATCTGCAGTGTGTCCTGGGAACAGCAAAACTGCCCCAGGAAGTCAGGACAGCCCATGGATGGTTCCAGGGAAAAGGGGCAGCAAATATGAGAGGTTGTGTTTGTACCCTTTGACACAGTTGGTTTTCTTCACTCTAGTAGTTCACTTCACTTGTGACCATGTAGTTTATCTTTGTGAGTAAAAAGCATGTGACATGTTTTGAAATGTTTTGGTGTTGACCTGTTGTTGTTCATAAACAAACCAGCAATGTATTTTGAAATGCTGTTTAATTTTAAACAGGTTTCAATGCTAAGCGCAGCATGCCTTTCCATTTCTGCTTAGCTTAATAAAACCAAAGAGCTAAACAAAAAAACCCAACAACAACAAAGGGCAATAAAAGTATGGGCAGAGTTACAACAGAGTCCCTGTTGTCACATCCTTGGGGACCATCACCAGTGTGGTGAAAATACTGTTTAGCAGTACCTGAAGTACTGAATTCAATCCTGTGCTTCCCAATCTCAAAGAGACTGAATGCAAATTGAAACAAACCATATTAAAATGTGAGGCCAGTAATGAGACTGTTACTTCCTTTTTTTTTTTTAAATATTGTAAGATTTTTATTCGAACAAATATTTTAAGATATTTATTCAAACTTTCTTCATCAGTCAGAAGTTGGGTTTTTTTTGTTGTTTCGGTTTGGTTTTGAGCTAGAATTGTACTTATTTTTCCTTCCCTGACATGGAGTAGGATATGCCCTGAAAGCATCCTGCCACATGACTAAACCAATTCTGATCTCTTTTGTCCAGCTGCTGTGGAGCATGAGGAGCAGTGCTGTAGCTCCACAGCACTCACTCACTTACTTTACAGCTGTGAAAGCAACAGTAACTTGGATTTTTTTAGCAATACTGAGCTTTTATAACATTAAATCTTTCCCTTGAGTGCTGTTTTCTGGAGACTGTGATGTTCCATTTCATAGAGAAACAGCAGCCAGGTTGACACAACCTCCCTGGCCCAGGTCATGGGAACATTCCAGTGCCTGTTGAAAGATCAGGGACAGTGCAGTTCTTTGGGTTTGAGATCAGAGATAGGAAAAAATTTTTCAACTGTCAAGGTGTTCAGACACTGGAATAGATTTGCCCAGGGGGGTGGTGGAGCCACCATCCCTGGAAGTGTTTAAGAGGTGTCTGGATCTGGCACTGGAGGATATGGTTTAGGGGTTACAGCAGTGACAGGTTAATGGTTGGACTTGATGATCTTAGAGGTCTCCTCCAACCCTGATGATTCTGTGATAACTGTCCAGACCGTGCAGTGACTTGCCTGTGCTCTGCTTTCAGGCACAAGGTGTTGAAGCAGCGCTGTGCCGCTGGCTCCAGCCGTCCCCCAACGATAAACCAGCCTGGATTCAGCGTGGGAGCAGCAGCATCCTCGGCATTGCCCCCTCCTGCCTCCTCAAAGCACAAAACAACAGAGAGACAGGAAAAAGGAGAGAAACTGCAGAAAAGGCCCATGATGCCATTTCACCATCGGCCCTCTGTGACTGAAGAGCTATGCATGGAGCAGGACACGTCAGGGCAGAAACTGGGATTAGCCGGGATGGAGCCTGCTTTGGAGGTCTCGAATTCCAGAAAATATGAGAAGCCTCTATCTCTACCTGCTAGAAATCCAAGCAAGCAAATTAATATGAATCCTATGGATTCACCCCATTCCCCTACTTCCCCTCTGCCTCCCACTCTGAGCCCCCAGCCCAGAGGGCAGGAAGCAGAGAACATGGACCCACCTTCCGTACCGGTAAACCCAGCACTCTATGGCAGTGGGCTGGAGCTCCAGCCACTGCCCAGCTTAGATGACAGGACAGTCCTTGTTGGACAGAGGTTACCTCTGATGGCAGAGGTCAGTGAGACAGCATTATACTGTGGCATAATTCAGAACAATGAGTCCGTGGACATGTGGAGGACCTACAGTGTCCCATCGAGTGACGACCCGGAGTTCAGGCCGCCGGAGCTGCCGTGCGAGAGGTATGATGCCAAGATGGAAGTAAACCCGGACAGCACCGCATTGAAAAGGTGAGAGGACAGGGCTGGCTTTGCTGGGTTTCATCATGCCCAAACTCTTGTTTTCTTTGAAGCCAAAACAAGTCCAAGTCTCAATGCACCATCACTGACACTGTGTGCTGGAGTAACACTAAATACTCACGCAGACATGTCCTACTGCAGGATGCCTTTTCCATGTTGGCTTTCTGCTGGAAGTTATAGAACTGATAAAACTTTCTGTAACCTGTGTCATAGAATTTTGGCAAATGTGTGAGTTGTATTAAGCTTGGGTCTTTTGATCATTTAAAACCAGAAAATAAGCATTGAGTTGTGCAGCCTTCCAGTGGCAGAAGTGCTTGGTTTGGGGTGAAATTATGTTTAAGGCACCGTAGAGACACTTCAGTGGGATTTGTCCAGTTGTGTGGGTTTAAAATTTTATCATGCCATGCTGAGGCTAAGTAGTAGCTGATCCTATATTATGGAATATTGCTGCTTTTTGTAACCCCACTGTTCCATCTTTGGCATTGATGGAAGCTTTACTGTTCACTCAGTCTCTGGAGCGTTGGAACTGAACCCCAACAGCTTCTCTGGGCTGTACACAGCAAAGAGCAATTGTAATCTCTTGTGAATAAAATTTAGAAAAGCTACAGTTAACATACACCATCATCCTCAGTGCAGACCATGAACACCTAAATTTTAAGGAATTTTTAGCTCCTTCTATTTTTATTTTTTTAAATGTAACATTTTCTTTTATGCAAAGAAACTTATTTATAACTTTAGTGTGAAAATTTGAATTAATTTTGTGCCAACCTAAAAATTGCTTTGGCATTGTGACAGTGCATTTTAAAAATACACCAAAGAGAGTAAGTTAATGTAAATTCGTAAGCAAAGATTAACTGAGGAGGAGTTTTTGAGTTATGAGAACATTGGGTTTGATAATTACAATGGAGTTTGCTAGGCTGAAAAGGTTTTCAGCCTGAAAAGTACAGCCTGGAAAGGTGTACCTCAAAGTGTTCTGATTTATTTAGGGACAGAATTAAAGTCTTCTTTCATTGCCCCAAAGTAGGCCTTAATGCATTAAGATATTTCATCGCCCCAAAGTAGGCCTTAATGCATTAAGATATTTAATACTAAACATAAGCAAATACACCCTTTATTTGAGGAAACAACATACTTCTGCTAGATCAAGAAGGATGGAGTGACCCATGGGCTGTATCTTTGTGACAGCTGCAGATCTCAAGACCTGGTTTTGCTTTGCTGTGAAAAGTGTGTTGGTTTTGTTTCATGGTGGCTTTGTTTGTTGTATTTTCACTTTCAGGCTCTTGGCACAACCTAATAAACGGTTTAAAATTTTGGAAGAGCAGAAAGCAGTGCAGCCCCTGAGCTATCTTGACCCTTTGCCTCTACTACAACAACCTGGAGAAGGCTGGGGAGACACTAGTGATCCTTACACCTTCGAAGATGGTGATATCAAGTACAGCTTCACTGTCAATAAAAAATGCAAACTTGGGGCTGAGAAAGATCCTTTGAAAAAGACCAAGGTAAGGTGTGAATCCAGAGTCTGTGTCATGAATGTTCTGATTGGACTTATGTACAGTGTTTGCTCTACAGCTCTCTGCAAGACATAAGCCTGTTCCACAGATCCAAATCAGAGAGATTTTGGATATGTTTTTCACACATACACACACACACACCCTTTAGCTTGACCGGCAGCAGGTTCCAGATTTAAGATAAGAAATAAAATGTTTAAGCTTTATATTCACTTGTAGAGATGAAAGAATTTGCTAGGCTTTTCTATTTTTTTCCCTACTTGCTTCAGCTTGACAGACCATCTCAGTGCAAAGCTCAGGTTTCTCCAGCCCAGGTTTGTTTCTCTTCCTTTGGGCAAAAGGAGTGTAGCCTTTTGCTGAGAGGCAGCGTGGCAGGAACACTGTTGGTTTGGGCATCTCTTAGAGGTGTTCTTCCATGTGGGAAGGGAACAATTTGATCACCATTCTTTGATCATCACCTGCATGATACTTCCTCCGTATCTTAGCCCTTATGGGGCTGTTTGATTGGCTGCTCACACCCTTGTCCTTGTGCAGGCACCCACCATGCTGAACATGCTAGGATGTTTTTGTTCTGGAGAATTTGAGGTGGATAATTACCTGTACTCACTGTCAGAACTAACAGATGTACATGGAACCCTTTGTAAATCACATAGTGCTACTCTGTGTTTTTCCTGATGTGTATATAAACAGCAGGCAACTGTTCTTTTCCCTTCTTAAATTTTTTTTTGCTTCTCAAACCATTTAACTCAAACCCTGAGATTGGCTTGACATAGGGAAACAGTTGTTCTTACATAGCTTAAATTAATATCCATTGAAAACTCTTGGATTTTTTTTTTTATAGTCAGAAGATGGAATTGGTCCCAAGGAAATCCCCACAACAGGACACTCTACTCCAGTTCCTGATGGAAAAGATGCCATGTCCATTTTCAGTTCTGCTCCTAAGACTGGTGAGTGAAAGCTCTTTGATTCACTCTGCAAAGTGAAAATACTCAACACTCTCTCATAACATCTGGAAGGCAAAATCACATCCTGAACTTCTGACTGTAACTTGAGAGCTGTAGGCAGCTCCTGAGATGGTAAAAAAAAAGGTTTTGCTTGTCCTTTCTATAATAATACAATTATGTATTTTTTAGACTATTAAATGAGCTGCAGCTACTTCATTTTCCTTTGGTGCTGCTTAGCATTTGCCTGCAAGGCTGTTCCTAGGCTACAGCACAGCAAAGGGACCTTGGTGCTTCTTGCCTGTCCCGTTTACAGTGAGAAGTGCAACTGAAAAAAGGTGGGTTTGTGTTTATTTGCTCCAATGTTTGATGTGTTTTTCCCTTTCTCTGTGGCAGATACCAGGCAAGACAACGCTGCAGGCCGAGGTGGCTCTGGGAGCCTCACCCAGGTGACAGATCTGGCTCCATCCCTTCACGACCTAGATAACATCTTTGACAATTCAGATGAAGATGAGCTTGGAGTAAGTCTTTGTAGGGCTGAATGTTCTGTAGGCTTAAACCTTGGCCAAGAAAAAAGGAGGAGGATGGAATCCTAGCAGAGAGTGATTATGTAATGGAGAGGAGAGAGAGTTTCCAGGTATTGGATTTTAGCTAGGAAGAATTGGTGGCAAAGAGAGATACCCTGTCAGGGGATCCATCAAAGAGAGAAATCCTCACAGTGTGTAATTCAGGAATTCTAGGGCATCACTTAGGGAACATCTTTGCTTGCATTGTCTGACAGTCATTCAGTCATGAGAGGAGACTGCGCACAAGTAAGGTGTGACACAGTCACTCAGGCTGGAAGGAAGCTCCATAGGCAAAGCCATGTAGTGGCTTTATAAATGCATTATATGCAGAATTTTGAATGATTTTTGAATTCTAGCGTTTTGTGTATTGTCTTATGGTTGTGCTTACTCTGCTCTTAGGCTGTGTCTCCTGCTCTTCGGTCATCCAAGCTGCCTGCAGCAGGATCTGAGGAGAGGCTTGTGGGGAAGGATGGCAGGACAGCAGTTCCTTACCCACCCAGTAAGTACCAGCACTCATTTACCACTGTGTGGATGTCCACATCCCCTTGCACCTACCACAGGGCCTTTCTGCAGGAGCCTTATAATGTCACTTCTCAGGACTCAGTGTGTATACTTTGTTCTGTAATTACCAGGTGCCAATATTGAAAGAGAATAAACAGATTTTAATGGAAACAGTGGTAATAGACATGTACTTTGAATGTGCCCACTGAGATTTGAGATGATCTTCTATTGACATTATTGTCTTAGACAATAATGTCAATATGGGAGGGGTTTGTCACAAATCTTCACTGGGAGGCCAGTCCCTCTCTTCTCAGCTCAGTGTTAAATCTCAGTCAGGCACTTGCACCATTACCATATCCTCTTCAAGTATAAAGCCTTCCATTTAACAAAATCCAGGGATTTAAACCCATCACTTACTAATTGGCCTGGTGCAACCTGTCTTGGAAGAAAATTGCATTGAACATTTGACAAATTAAAACTAAAATCACCTTCAGGGTTTAATCTAGATGTGGAAACACAATTAAAATCAAAGGATGAGGTTCCAACTGAAGGCACATTGTAGACCTTTTACAGCTGGTTGTGGTAGTGATGCTTATGCAGACACTATACATGGACAGGGAAGGTTGTAAGAATCCAGGAAACTTAGGAATTAAATTTAGTATGCTGAAATCATATGAAATGGAAATTAAAACTAGGGCTTTTTTGGAAGGACTCTGACAGGTATTGGAAATGGTAACTTGTACTCTGAGATTCGTGGGATTTCCTGCACCTGACAGGAGATTGGAGCCAGGTGGGGTTCATCTCCTCTCCCAAGTAACAAGCAACAGAAAGAGAGAACACAGCCCCAAGTTGTGCCAGGGGAGGTTTAGGTTGGATATTAGGGAAAATTTCTTCATGGACAGAGTTGCACAGCTGCCCAGGGCAGTGGTGGAATCACCATCCCTGGAGGGGTTTCAAAGCTGTGTGGATGTGGCACTTGGGGACATGGTTAGTGGTGGCCTTGGTAGTGCTGGGGGAATGATCTTAAAGGTCTTTTCCAACCTAAACAATTCCATGATTTTATTCATGTAGGTGGCATTTCTCTTGAGATGAAAGAGAAATGGGTATATGTATGTGTGAGAGGAGGAAGGTGAGAATTTTTGGCGTAATACTAATGAGTCAAATTACTAATTACAAATTACTTAGTGGTGAGGAGGCAGAGTGTTTGATTTTTTTGTGACTGCTACAAGCAGAAACCAAATCTCTCTGCAAATCATTCTTTAATGCTTTCTCATTAACTTCTGCTGGTAACGAGAACAAATTGAGGCGAAGAAAAAAGTCTGAAGGAGATGAGTCAGAGTTTTATGGACCCATAAAAGCTGTGCTGATTTACTCAAATGTAGAAGTCTGAAGTATACAGAGATTGGATTTTGACAGGTTTAGTTGATCCATAGCTTTTTAAAATATGCAAAGCTTTTTCAAGCATGACACACATGAAAATGAATAATGATGGGTAGCCTGTTGCTGTAGGGTTGGGGGTTTTTTTGTAATTAAACTTTTTTATGAATCTGCACTGCAGAATTTTGCTAAGTGGAGTGAGCTTGAGGTGAGAAAATGATGTAGTGTAGAGCTGTGTGGAGTAAGTTAAACAGATACACTCCACTTGTGGTTTGTAGCTGTGGCCTTGACTCCAGCTGTCAAGGCAGTACAGTGTCTGAGGGGAGCTGAAATGCCTTGTACAGCATCATAAATTCCTACTGACCACCTTTCATTTTAACCTTCCTCCCTGTCCCCTCTCTCAGTTTACAAAGTACACCTCTTTGTTGGAAAGCAGAGGAGCCAATCCAGCTGCCATCCTGAGGAGTGTATTTCATACTAGCATTGGATGGAAAATAGCTTTTTCCATTCTACTGAACCTGGTTTCAGCATTATTTTACCCTATATCGGGACAAGACTAAGGTCTTTTGAATTCAAAGACTGAGAAAGTGGGGGGAAAAAGAAAAATGTCTGAGTGGGAATAATTCATAGCCCATTATTTACTGTGCTGCTCTGGGTTGTGAAGGACTTTGGGTTCAACTTTGACAGTTATTGCCCACAGAACTCCAGTGTGAGAGGACTTCACCTGTTCGAGTTGTTTCACTTTGTCTAAGTAGTTCAACAGCCTGGCTGGCTGCTCTCAGTGCATACAGGCCTGAAATGCAGCTTTGGCTCTGTTGGGGCAGAGCAGAGACACATCTTGAGGCTGCAGCACCCTGCAGAAATGTACTGATAGTGTCTGTATTTGCATGGTGTATGTGATATTAATTCCATCGCTCATTTCTGCCACTTTCTGTTAGTTTTGAGAACAGTACTGTGTCTTACCAGTTTGGATTTCCACACACCTGTTTACCAGTCAGAAATTCGTCCTTACTGATCTCTGGGTTTTCCATAATCTTTAGGCTGCAAACGTTATTGAATACAAGTATGTCCTTGTGTCCTATCAGCTTGGGTATAGAAATGGGATTGGGCATTTAGTCTGTCAGAGAAGTATTTAAGCAGAAACACTTGTGGGAATTTACCCTTCCCTAGTTGCAGTGATTCACCAGAGGGATGGGTATGTCCTAATAGAAGTCAGGAAAATACAACATGCACACTGAATTTTACACAAAATAAATATGGAAGTTGGTGGCTGGAAGGAAACAGGCTGGGGAGGACAGATAGGACTTTGCTGTGATTTGTGTTTGATTGCATTACACTGCACAAAGCATTTCTGTTGGGGTTGTTTGTTTTGCTTAAAGAAGAAAAACAGACAGTGGAGGATTCCATTACATTCATTGCCTGAGAAGTTATTTAGGGGTTTCTCTGGCTTGATGTCTTGTGATGCAAAATGCTAATTTTATGGCTTCCTGTGACACTCACAGTGGGATGCCTGGCTGTCTGGTTTCTCAGGCAGCATAGCCCGTGTTTGTGTTAGCAACAGTGCCTGTCTCCTCTTCAGGAGTCCTGTTGCCATGGACCAAATGAGGCCTCAGTGCCTGTATAAGTGGAGAAATGCAGCTCAGTGCACGCTATTTCCAAGGCATCCCACTTTAGGGCTCAGTGTCAGCTCTGGGAAAGGGAAGAAACTACTCTGTGGCTCCTTAGTAGCACTTACTGGGATGAACTCTACGTTAATGTCAATTCATCTCTTCCCTTATGAAGTATTTATTTGTTCCTGTTAAATTGTACATGGAATTTGTCTATCTACCAGTTTGTTGTTTCTGCTGAACAATAAACTTACAAAGTATCCCTAGGAATTTTTGGAATTTATCCCCTAGGAGTTAACTTTTTGTCTAGATTCATATTGGTGTCAGAACTCCTGTGAGTCTGTACAATCTCTGCTCACTTTGAACAGAAGAATTAAGAGCTAGAATTAAGTTGGTCTCTTTGTTTTATATCATCTCCTTGAGAATTTGTATTGTAATAGTTAACATTGTGTTATTTCCTCATCTTCAGCTGGGGCAGATCTCCAGAGGATGTTCCCAACACCACCTTCTTTAGAACAACACCCTGCCTTCTCCCCAGTAATGAGTTACAAAGATGGGATAAGCTCAGAGACTGTGACTACCTTGGGAATGATGGAGAGTCCTATGGTCAACATGGTTCCAACACAGCTTGCTGAGTTTAAAATGGAGGTGGAAGATGGATTAGGTAGCCCAAAACCTGAAGAAATTAAGGTAACATGCCATGGTATTTTTATAAACTCATCACTGCACATTTCAGTGTTTATAAACATGTCACATGTAGTGTGTGTAGCAGAGTAACAAATGTGAGCTGGAAAAGATCCTCCTCTTAGTGAAAGAGCTATTTAATTGTTGCCATGAGTTTAACTATCAGCATTTTCCTTCTTGTAAGTTTGTGTTTGTAATGTTTTTGGGTGTTCTCAGGATGCAAACAGTATTGTCTGAGAAATGAGCCCTGTGCCTAACAGAAAGAAATGTACCTGTGTGAAAACACATCCTGCTTGTGCCTAAGTAGCTGTTAAATGCAGTATTTCTTCAGCTAATTTCTCTGTAGTCTCCTCTGTAGCCTGTCCCTGCTGCCAGGCTGGGGATACAGCTGGGATAAAGTGGTGCATGTAGAAGGGCTCCTTTTTCTCACTGAAATGTTCCTGTTTTGGTTAGGGTTGAAACTCTGTGAGAAAGCTCAGGGGTTGAACTTGCTCTGTTTCTTCTTCAGCTGATGTTACTTCACAAGTTTTAAGGCCAGATGGGACCATTCTTATCTGACTTTCTGTATAACACAGGTCAGGTAATGTCACATAGTTCCTCCTCTATCGAGTCCTGTAGTGTATCTGAGTAAAGAGCTGTTTCTAAGTGGGGACTCTGCTGCTGGGGACTGGGACTCACTCCCCAACTTGCATCTCCAGGTGTATCCATTTTCCATAGCATCACATAAAGGGACTTAACATCAGCACCGAGTGTACATTGATTTGTGTGTCATTGTTCCACCTGTAGCACAGGAGAAGAGTAGGATATAAAATCACTCTGCTTATGTGTATCCTGCTTTACTTAACTTCTGGGGCCGATTTTTGTCATTGTTGTCAGAAGTTATTGTTCCCATATTTCCATGCACATAGCCTGAAGGGTTTTTATTAAAAAATACACATTTTTGTGCAGAAATACACATCACCTTGTTCTCCAGAAGCTCCTTGGTATGCAGGGAATAAAAAGGGAGATGCCCACTATAATTCTGACTTCCTGGTAGTCCCCAACCCTTGCTGTTACAGCCTAGTTCTTCTCCTTCAGGCCCACCCTGCCACAGCCTCTTTGTTCTATTCCAGCAGCTGTTTCTCTCCCCACACCATGTCCTTCCTCGTCTTTTTTTTTTCTCCTGTGAATGTTGGAATTATCTGATGGCTAATTTTTAAGCATCTGCATTGCTGAGACAGGGATACATGGAAAGGCACAGCACTTGGAATTGCATGGACAAGAAGTGGCAATGTGTTGATGTGAGAATATTGATAGAACAATTTATTCAGTATAAATGATGGAGTCGGCTGTGAATTAGTAAATTATCTTGTCTGGAAGGAATAGTATCCCTCAAGCAGAATGCAGGTGAGGTACAGGCAAGCCACGGAGTGACTTCTTCCATGAGAGCTTTCAGTGTTGTTCCTGGGAGAGGAGGATGTCCCTGTCCCTGGGAAGAAACAAGACAGCCTGTTGCAATCCAGGATTGTGCCTCTGTGTTCTGGTACAGTGTGTCTAGTCAGACCTCAGAGTTCTCAGCTGACCCCTGCCAAGGGCTGAGCTGGCAGAGAGCTCCTACCAGCAGTTCTGTTGTGAGAGAGAGACTTTGCAGAGGACTGAGGGAGTGAGGTGTTGGTGTGCCCCTCCTGAAGGCAGCTACTCACCTGAAAAACAGGCACATCAAGCAAATCTGCTTTGTTTACTGCAAGATCTCTTCTTCCTTCCATCCTGACCTCATCACTTGATGGCACTCTGAGGAAGGGCATCTCAGAGGCTGTGCTGCAGTGCAGCTGTCCCTATGCCACGTCTAGTTTGTGTATCTGCAAGTTTTTATACCAATACAGAAGTTTGAAATGAGTTTTTTATAAGGTTTGCAAGACTTTGCCTTGCCATGGACCTTGCTGGGTTTTCTCTTTTGCTTGTGCAGTAAACTATTTGCTGAAGTCAAGGATAATTTGGGCCTGAGAAGAAAATCTGCATTGGAATTTGTTGAGCTGAAAGTTTTTGAGTGGGATCAGATTTTAGGGTGTCATCGATACCAAAGATATTTTAATCTCCCTCACAACCATTATGGAAGTATTAAATACATATTTTAGTTCTGCCTGAGAACATTTCCAGCAGCACAGTTGACTTGCTTTTGAGTGTGTCACACCTGCTCATACACACCAGTGGGGGAAACAAGCATTAAACCCATTGCTAATCATTTTGAGAACATGGAAGTAGATTTCTTGTGCTGAGTATTCAGCAGCTGGAGATAGTAATCCACACATTCCTCATCTCTCAATGCTTGACAAGGTGCAAGGGAAAAAAATGCAAAGATTTAATGAGATGTTAAATGCTGAGACTACTGTTACTGTTTTAATACTGATTTTTGCTTTGCAGTAGTGCCTCAAAAGGACTGGCTCTGTCCTTCTGAGAAACTTGGAATAGCTCTAGAAACTCTGGCTGAAGTTCTTGTCCTCACTTTCTGCAAGCAAATGTGACACTCAATGAAAGTCAGACTTGACTGAACTTCATTAGAGTTCATGTTATGTTTACTCAATTGTTTAGATATTTGTATTTAATACTCTACTGATACTTAATAATTGGCATGTGCAGTGTGGCCACTGTTACTACTAAAATGCTGAGTCCTCACTGTGGGGATTGTTCACAGAGGCTGCCTCAAGGCACCTCAGGTTTCTTCACACTGTGGCTCAGACTCTCTCTCCACTGTCAGTACAGAAGCCTTGCAAAGATCAGTCTTTTAAGTGCCTAAATAAGGTACTTAAAGTCAGGTAGTATGAAAATTTCATAGTGCACTACTCATGTTTCAGTTGTAGGTTGTCTTAAATGAGTCTAATCAAATTGTGAAACCTTCTGACATGAAGTTGTGCAGCACCTCAGGATAACAGGGAGCCTCAGCTGAGTTTCCTTGAATGAACTGCTCTTGAATGTTTTGTAGAAAGAATAAATATACTCAGTCTTGGGGGGGGGGGGGAGTTTTAGAAGGTTCAAACAACACAATAGGTTTTAATTAAAAGTAACTGTCTAAAGGAGAACCTGACCATATTGTTGTGACCAATGTCATTTGGATGTTACAGGATTTCTCGTATGTGCACAAAGTTCCATCATTTCAACCATTCGTGGGCTCCTCCCTGTTTGCTCCGCTGAAGATCCTGCCCAGCCAGTGCCTCCTACCTCTGAAGATACCTGATGCCTGCATCTTCAGGCCTTCTTGGGCTGTTCCTCCTAAAATTGAACAACTTCCTCTGCCACCTGCAGCCACTTTCATCAGAGATGGCTACAAGTAAGTACAGCCCATGGGAAATGAGTTTGTCAAGCCCATAACTGAAATGGCTCATTAATTAAAATGGTTGTCTGTATTAACAGTGCTTTATCTTGCAAAAGTAGTTTAAACCTTTTAAATTTGTCATTGTCTGAGGTCAAAACAGTTCTGTTAGCAGGAACATGTGATTTCAGCTCAGCTTTTGGCAGTCAGGGGTGTTACAGGATGTGTCCACTGTACCCTTAGTGCTTCTAAAAGAACAGGAACATGTGGTACCTGAATTAATTGCAATTTCTGATAAAGGAAAACATTGTAATTCATCATAAACCAGAAGTGTTAGGGAATAAAATGAACACGCTGAACCTTTCCCATCTGTGTTCTCCCTGCCATTTCCATGTCCAGCTCTCCAACCTCCAGCCAGGCTCCCCTTTCCTTGGTAGGTGGGTGTCAGTTTGAGCTCTGGATCTGGTGATTCCGGTTTGCCTTCTGAGGGCTCTTAAAATGTTGGCTAGGCCTGTGAAAGCTCCTCTGTCTGTGTGTTCATGTGAGCTCCTCTGAGCTCCTGTGCTGGAACCTGAGTGGGTGATGTCAGGAGCTGCTTATCAGACAGAGGCTGGTCCATGTGTGCTGTCTGTCCTGCCCTGACTGAGAACCAAAAGAGATGCCAAGTACAAGAGTGCTGTGACCTGTAAGGAAACACTGACATGAATTTTCCAAGCTTGTTTTCCTCACTCCGTGCTCAGAAATTAGCAATGTTTATGGAGGAAATTAATTGCTGAAGGTTTTGAAAGGTAGCAAGGATTTGCACCATTAAATTAATAAAACCTCCTAAAAGGCATAGTACTAGTACAAAGGTCTCCTGCTGCACTGCTTCATTTCTGGAGGAAGTAGTCTGTATCTTTAAATCAGTCTGTAAATCCTTCAAATCAGTCCTTTTCCAGCCCCAGAGGATCCTTCAGCGTTCTCAAAAGAATTGCAAAGGAGAAATTGTAAACCCTTGATATAGTGCCTGGGGAACAATTTAATTCTCAGTTTTTTTCGTAATAGTAACTGATGCACCAGGCCTGAGCTGGTTATTAATTTCAGGTATTTGTTGGGGAAAAAAACCCTTTCATTTTCCATCTAATCCAATTAGAGTGAGGATTATTACTGCAGGCTTCCGACAGAGTGGTGATTGCCAATCAAGGTTTCTAGGTCACCTTTTCTTATTAGTCTGAGGCACTCGGTGTGCTTCAGCTTCACAACTCCTTCAAACCTTGCTTCATTATTTTTCCCTCTCCTGCTTGAGTTGGACACACATCGGTTCAAGGTAATGAAATGATTGTAAGGAATAAGGTCTTCACTGTTTTCCTTTTCAAGTCCCTAATGATATGTGGCCATTCCATTGATAGTCCTTTTCACTAATACAGAAAATACACTGTAAGAACAGACAAACATGGAAAAACCCTGTTTGCCTTCCTTTATCCAGAGACTCATTGAGTTCTTACACTCTTCCCTTGCCCTAATGTGTAATGAACACATTGCAAGCGAAGGGAGCAGCTTAGTAGGGACTTGGAAATAGAAAAGTAAAGATCTTTGATTTGCCCTATATTACCTGTTTCTTGACACGAGTCATTGCCAATGGAAGATAGATCTCCTGGGAATGTACAGACTGTTCTGTGGTCACTTGAGTTTGGCAGAAAATGACAAAAACAGAGTAATAAAAGCCAGTCATGAATGCAGATGACCCAAAAATACAATTCTTAGCTTTAGTAGGATAAGAGTTTGTAATGGAACGTGACACATTGTGCTGCAGACTGTGTAATCCAAAATGAGGATTTGCATTGATAGCATCTGACATGCTGCTAGCACTGCGCATCGCCATGAGGCGACACCGTCTGTCGGTGCCACACACAGGACTCCTGACAGCTCCTCAGAGTGGTAATTTCGAAAATAAAGTAAGATTTCAGTGCCTCTGAAGTACTTTCTTCATTTCCACTAATCTCTGTCTCTTCACAGATAATGGTGTTTAAAATAACAACTACAATTCTTTGTCTTTCCCCTACAAGAGTTACAAATATTCTAACTCTTAACTTGGTAGTTTTATCTAGAGATTCTTCTCAAGAGCATTTGAGTTTTAGGCTATGGGAATAATCTTTTAAGAGGGTGAAGTGCGTGAGATGAGACCTTTTATCTTAAATGATAAGAAACAGTGGTGTTCATGGTGAGAATTCCAAGTTCTGTTCAGTGACATGAGTCACAGCTTAGGAGCAGAGTGTTCTTCGCTACAGTTTCAATGAATTTTCACCATCTCCTTGTACTTAGAAACGAAGTTTTGTCAAAATCAGTCTCCACAACCAACCAGTTCTCAATGATTTGACCCCGATTCCATTCCTTTCTCGCAGCAATGTGCCTAGTGTTGGGAGTTTGGCCGACCAGGATTACCTGCAGATGAACACCCCTCAGATGAGTACCCCAGTGACGCTGAACAGCGCCGCTCCGGCCAGCAACAGCGGGGCGGGAGTGCTGCCGTCCCCGGCCACCCCGCGCTTCTCCGTCCCCACCCCGCGCACGCCCAGGACCCCCAGGACTCCCCGAGGAGGGGGCACCGCCAGCGGCCAAGGCTCCGTCAAGTATGACAGCACAGATCAGGGGTCACCTGCCTCCACCCCTTCCACCACGCGGCCGCTGAACTCCGTGGAGCCGGGCACGGTGCAGCCCATCCCGGAAGCTCACAGCCTCTACGTCACCCTGATTCTCTCCGACTCCGTGCTCAACATCTTCAAGGACCGTAACTTCGACAGCTGCTGCATCTGCGCCTGCAACATGAACATCAAGGGTGCTGATGTGGGGTTGTACATCCCGGATTCATCCAACGAGGATCAGTATCGCTGCACCTGTGGCTTCAGCGCCATCATGAACCGCAAGTTAGGCTACAACTCCGGGCTCTTCATCGAGGATGAGCTGGATATCTTCGGCAAGACCTCAGACATCGGCCAAGCCGCGGAAAGGCGACTCATGATCTGTCAGAGCAACTTGATCTCACAGATGGGAGAGGGAGCTCGAAGGAGCCAAGAGCCTCCAATGAGCCTCCTCCTCCTCCTGCAGAACCAGCACACCCAACCTTTCACATCCCTGAGCTGCCTGGATTACATGTCCTCCAACAACCGCCAGACGCTCCCGTGCGCGAACTGGAGTTACGACCGGCTGCAGGCAGACAGCAACGACTCCTGGGTGGAATGCTTCAACGCCCTGGAGCAGGGCAGGCAGTATGTGGACAACCCCACGGGGGGAAAGGTGGACGAAGCCCTTGTGAGAAGTGCCACTGTCCATTCTTGGCCTCACAGCAATGGTATGGGGAGAACAGAGCCTTCGTTTCTCTGAATTGTTTTGTGATCTGTGTAAATTGAAACTTGCCAGTCCTGAGTCTCTTAATGTGTATGTGGGCCTAAAAATAGGCCTAAAAATATGATAGAAATAAGTAGATTTCTAAATGCTTTCTAGATTGCATGTAAAGTACCATTAATTCTGTTGTCCTTAGACTTTGTGGCCTAAATTGTGAAAGAGTCTGTGGAAGGTCACAGATCTGAAGCAGCAAGGCAAAGCAAATTGAGGTATTTGGGAGAAGGCAGAATTATGGCCCCTTCTTTTATAGGAGGGTATAAGCAGTCAGCAGAAAAGGATTGCTCTGTATGTAAGCATATAAAAAGGGAAAAAAGTGATTTTAGAATCAAATGAATGCCTGTTTGTATGCTGAAGGTGCTCTGAGTTCTTAGGAACTGAGCTGGCCAACAGTAACACTGAAAGGTTTGTGCAAAGGACTGTGGTGACAGCTTTATGGCAGTAATGCTTTTAGAAGGTACCACATGAAGTGCCATTAAGCTAATCAGAGTTGTCTAAATGTCCTGGGCAGTGTGCAGAGCAGTGCAAAGGAACGGTACACAAAAGATGTTGTCACCTCGAAAGAACTGTTCCTGTCCCTCCCTGAAAGTGATTGCTGCTCCCTTGTCCCTTGCAGTGTTGGACATCAGCATGCTCTCCTCCCAGGACGTGGTGCGCATGCTGCTCTCGCTCCAGCCCTTTCTCCAGGATGCCATCCAGAAGAAACGGACAGGAAGGACCTGGGAGAACATCCAGCACGTGCAGGGACCACTCACCTGGCAACAATTCCATAAGATGGCAGGACGGGGAACCTATGGTACATACACTGTGGTCTATACCAGTGGCTGAAAGGAATGCAGAGTTTCCTAGAAATGGGCATTTTCTGCTGGAAGCATCTTAGAACAAATGAGCTTGCACGTAGCTTAAAATGCCATAAAGGCATTTGTAACACATGCTTGAATACTGTAATGGAGGTTTTACCTTCCAGGCTGAGGAACATTTACAGAGTGCAGAAATGGTGGTTGAGGCTCAGACCCCTCATCTGAATCTGGGGTTTGGCTCAGACTAAAGCAAACTGGTGTGGACATAATGTGAACAGAGGGAGCTGCTGAAATCAGCCAAATTCTAATGGGAAGAGAAGCTGTGTGAGCTGTGAAATCCACAGAATTTGGGGATGTTTTCTCCACACAGGCGTTTGCTTGTTCTAAGGCTTCCCATAGTCTTAATAAGAAGTTTCAGTTTAAGTATCTCCAGAAGTGACACTTCTGCAAAATCCAAATTACAAACCAAATTCTGTACATGCACATTTGCAGAGTTACAACTGACATTCAAGTCTGTATTCCTCACCTGCAGTTTGTTGCAGGCTTAAGCAGTACAGCCTTGTTTGGGATTTTTCCTACAGATCCATTGTGCTGTGCTTTATTTCCTTGCTGTTGGTATTGGATATACTCTGCTTTCTTCAGGGCTGGGACAACTGGGGGTAACTCCAGTTCCTGTCTAAAACTGTTGTGCCACACCAGGAGCACTTGCAATCTAATAGTTTTTCCAGCATTTGTAACTTTAATAGTTTGGAGTTGCCAATTGTTCCAGAAGAATAAAACAGATTCCCATAGAGTCCAGAGCAGAGTGACAGAGAGTGAGACAATCAGTGAGTTTTACTGAATGTTGACCTTTTAATAAAGGTGAATTACATTCTGCAGAAACCATTGGGTCTGTTTTAGCTTGATAGTTTCAGCAATGTTTCTTTTGCTGAGCACAGTGTCTGGGAGACACCCTGTTACCCTGAATAATAGTCCTCTCCCCAGGGACAGCAGTGCTCAGAGCACATCCTATGGACAGGGGGAGGAGGCAATTTTTAGACTCATGATAACTTTGCTTAGTATTATATACCTGGGAATAAATTTGCCTAGGCATTAGGAATTGTGCACAACCAGGTGGAAGTGGATGAAGATCAGACTTTATGTACTCCTGTTATACTTGGGATTGAACAGGAACTCATGAGATTTGATTATGGCTAGGACAAAGTAAAACCAGGAGATGAAGCCTCGGGAAGTGTAACACCAGTATGCAGAGTACTCTGGAAGATGTTTTATTGCAGCTTTCTAGGAAAGCGTAAGTGGTGCTTGGATCAGCTCCCTCCACTTTGGCTGACTGAACTTTGATTTTATGACATTTCTTAAGTGCAGTATAAATCATCTTCTTTATTAAGTACTTCTTGCAAGGAAGGAGGCTGTGGGAGAACATGGTTTATAGGCATGGCACAGCCTCGATACATGTTTCCACTCTATGCTCAAACTTGTAGGAGACTCAGAATGGTGAGGGATTAGTGATTTCCAGTATGCTGTGAGGGAATCCACTTCTTGGGACGTCAGAGCCTCACTGCACTTAAACCAGAAATTTTAACATTCTTTCTTTCTTTTCCCATTGAAGGCTCTGAGGAATCTCCTGAGCCTCTTCCAATCCCGACGTTGCTCGTGGGCTATGACAAGGACTTCCTGACAATCTCTCCGTTCTCCTTGCCCTTCTGGGAGAGGCTCTTGCTAGACCCATACGGGGGCCATCGGGATGTTGCCTATATCGTGGTGTGTCCGGAAAATGAGGCCTTGCTCGACGGAGCCAAAACTTTCTTCAGGGACTTGAGTGCTGTATACGAGGTTAGAAAGAGGAACCACACTGAGTTATTGCTTATTGAGTGTCATTCATTCCTGCTCCCATGTTCACTGGGGGAAATCCATGGGGTTGGAAGTAACAACTGTTTGAAGGATTTCTTTCACTTTGAGGACTTTCTGCACTTTCAGAGCCCAAGGATGCTGTCTGAGTTACACTGTGATTCTCTGGGCATTTGGAGGTATTTGTTGCCATCTGCTCCTTTCAGCACTCGCTTATATCACAGAGGATGTAGCAGTGGTGCTAATACAGCTGCAGGGAAATCCATGGGGTTGGAAGTAACAACTGTTTGAAGGATTTCTTTCACTTTGAGGACTTTCTGCACTTTCAGAGCCCAAGGATGCTGTCTGAGTTACACTGTGATTCTCTGGGCATTTGGAGGTATTTGTTGCCATCTGCTCCTTTCAGCACTCGCTTATATCACAGAGGATGTAGCAGTGGTGCTAATACAGCTGCAGCCTCACTCGTGATGGCCCAGCCAGGCCTAAAGAGCCAAGGGGCAGATCACAGTCACTTTCTCATAGTTGCTAGGCTGGAGAGAAAACCATCTATTTTTTAGCATGCAGGTGCTGCACTACCCAACATATAAGATTCCTTTGTAACCTCAGTTTTGTTGTGAGTGCAGTTCAAGTCAGCAGATAAATGTAGCCCTTTTGTTTTTAATCTATTTCTTGAGAAGCCACCAGGTGTGTGCTGGGAATGAAAGGTTTAGGCTACAAACCAGTGTGCATAACTCACTGAGGTGCTTGGCATCTCTTGACAAGTGTTTCTCCTTCCCTCTCCAGATGTGTAGGCTTGGCCAGCACAAACCCATCTGCAAAGTGCTCCGTGACGGGATCATGCGGGTGGGCAAGACTGTGGCCCAGAAGCTGACGGATGAGCTGGTGAGCGAGTGGTTTTCCCAGCCCTGGGGCTCCGAGGAGTGCGACAATCATTCCAGGCTCAAGCTGTACGCGCAGGTTTGCCGGCATCACCTAGGTGAGTGCCACCCAGCAAGGGCCTGGGCTGCTCTGGGGGCATTGGAGGTCCTTTTCAGTAGGTGGAATTGAGTGGGGGGTTCTTAAGGTACAGATTACCTGTTTAAAAATGAAGAAGGTATTATGAGGCTCTGTCTTAATTTCTTAGTCCTTCCACGTTAAATTTTCTTACTTAAGAAAAGTTTGTTGTAGGTTATCACTCTGGTGATCACCTCAGAGGTTCAAAAGTCAATTCTTACCTTTGCAGGAAAGTAAGTTTGGTATAGGATGTTAGTATATCATAAAGATCACAGAATCACAGACTGGTTTGGGTTGGAAGAGACCTTCAAGCTCATCTCATTCCACCCCCTGCCATGGGCAGGGATGCCTTCCACTAGCCCTGGTTGCTCCAACCCTGGCAGTGTTCAAATCCAGGCTGGATAAAGCCTTGAGCAACCTGGTCCAGTGGGAGGTGTTCCTGCCCACAGCAGTGAGAGTTGAGACTAGATGATCTCTAAGGTCCTTTCCAGCCTGTTAACATACTATGATACTATGAAGCCTCATCCAGCCTGGCCTTGAACACTTCCAGGGATGGAGCAGGATGTTCCACACAAGACTGGATGTATCCATTGGTCTGGTTTATGTGCTGCTGACGTGTCATCACAGCAGTGTGACAGAGCCATGCCATGGTGCCTTCAGGCAAAAAGTGTATTTATAGCAGAGCTCACTGCAGCTCTGTGAAGGGAATTAACACGGGGAAAAGAGAAGGTAACAGTGTCCTTTGTGGCTGAGGCCTCAATCTGCTGCCTGTGGATACTTGGAACCACATGACCCTGAAGGCATGGCCTCCTCTAGACCTCATGTAGGCTTATTTCCAGCCTGAAACAGTGACACATTGTAAAAAATTAGTCTGTTTTTGTTATAGCATCATGCCATATTTGTTGTTTATTAGAACATATGTCAGGAGTGCTTGTTTGATGAGGGAGGGCAGAATCTGAGCGTATGGAAAGGTATAAGTTTGCTGGGATATGATCAGAGGACTGGTCCTGGCTGAGTTCCTGGAGTCACCTGACATTGCTCCCAGATTTCATCTGGGGAGAGAATGGTTGTTCACCCCTGAGTGGGTCTAGAGGCAGCATATGTTGTATATGTGCCTGAGAAATGGGATCTTAGCACAAGACACAGGAATCATTACACTATTTAACACAAATGCCCCAGGCTTCCCTGCAGGAAGATGTAACATGCAGAACCAGGTGAGGAGTTGGGCTGTTCAGTGCAGACTTGAGGCATCTGGCAGGGCAGTGCTGGAAACTTCCCTGCTGGTGATTTACCACCTCTGAGAGTAAAGGAATAATAAATATTCATTTATTACTTAAAAATAATCACTGTGGTGTCTCTTTTTCTGCTACTGAGGAACAGAAATAGCTATATTAAAGTTTGCCATTCTTGCAGCTCAGGTAAAAAAGGAGTTCCAGCTTTTCAGCCTGACAAAGGTGACCTGTAGCAGACTGCAAAGCTGAGCACTGTATAATACTGTTATCAAAATACCATCTGGCCAGAGATCATGGCATCTCAGTACCAACTTCGAGTCACAAAGCTCTGCAGATTCAGCCCTGTTTTTATAGCCATTTAATTCATATCAGTCAGAACTGAAACCCTGAAGAATGGATTCAAAAGCAAACATTGATAATGGAGATTCTATTCACTTAGCATTTGTGTACTCTGAGAATATTGTCTGACTTGCTGGTTAATGTAATTCCCTTTGATCTGACTGTCATTCATCCCCTTTTCTCTTTCCATGCCATTCCAGCACCTTACTTAGCCACTCTGCAGCTGGACAGCAGCCTGTTGCTGCCCCCCAAGTACCAAACTCCTGCGCCAGCAAGCCAGTCACAGCCAGCTCCTGGGAACACTGGACCTGCACCCTCCAACCCCACGTGTCTCTCGGCTGCTGGGGCCCCACCAACAGGCAGTTCCTTCAGCTCCACACCCAGTGGTGGGACCACAAGCCTTCCAGCAGGGAGTACTTCATCCTCTGGGTCCTCCGTGCCACAGCTGTCAGCATCCTCTGCAACCCCCAGCGCTAACCAGATGACCACCTCCTCCACTCCAGGGTTTAGTGGGAATGTTGGTTCAGGGCAGAACAGCAGCACTGGGGGAAGCACAGCAGAGCGTTCCCAGGGCAGCACAGCTCCTGGGGGAGACACGGAGTCAGGGCAGAGCTTACCACAGCAGCAGCAAGAGGGACAGGAAGGGTAAGTTACTTCAGCGCTCACATGACTCCAAGTGCTGCTCATTAAACTCACTGTTCTGCTCCCATACAACTCAGAACCTTTGAGCCTGATGTGAATCCTTGGAAGGAGAGACCCCTCTGACAGGTGCAGTGCAGCTGACCAGGTGGAAAGAGAGCAGGGCCTGGTTTTGTCTGTTTGTAGCAGTCAGTGGTAAAGGGGAGTTGGAAAAAACAACCCTCCCCTTTTTCATTACAAGAATCAAAGCCTGATTCAGCTGCATGGACATGGGTGTTGGAGCTGCCTTAGGATGCCCTACCTGGCCTGCCCTTGCAGCACCAGAAACACACAAGGTGTCTCAGGTTCTGTGCCATACCTGTGGCTTGGCCTCACCTGTGTCAGGCACTGCAGGGTATCTCATGGAGCTCAGTGCCTCTTATTTGGGCAACTCCATCACACCTGGAATGTTAACAGATGCAAAATGCAAGGAATGGATTTTTTCCTAATTTTCTTGCCTTGCAGGTGTTGCTTTGCAAGCAGGTACACTGTGAGGTCAGGAAACACCATTATAGTCCTGTTACTTTAAAACAAATTTCAGCAGCAGAACATTTTAAGATTTCATCTTGAATAGTCATCCATCAAACAGAAAAATTAGGAAAAGGTTGTTTAACATAGTATGTAAGTAACTTCCTGAAGGAATGTGTTTTTCATTACTCAGAATAATGCATATTGCTAATAGTCATGGTGTGTGCTGTGGAGTTCCTGAATGCTGAGGACAAAGCCCACATCCTGCTGTAGTTGGGGTTGTCCCTGAGACATCTGTTCCCTGATCTGTGCAAAACCCCCTCATCCCAGCTGCAGCAGGGATTGGGACAGAGTGAGCAGCTCTGATCACTTACAGATGTTGAGCCTCCCAGCCATGGTTCCGGCATGGAGGACTGTTATCCCAAATAAATATTCAGTTGCTCCTTCCATTACCCGTGGAACCTTTCCTGTACCTACACAGGACTTCAGGCTCCATGAATATTTCTTTGGCTCTTCTCCTTAGTTCTCAATTCCTCCTTCCAGCTCTCCCGAAAGCAAACCCCAAACTGTACCAAAACCCAGACATGCACCTACATGAAAGAGAACTCACAGAGCTAATAGTAGTCAACTTTTTCATAGTCTTTATACATAATCTAGTTTGATTGCATTAATTGAGATTGTTAGACTTTGTGGTATCTTTAATGCATAATTAAAACCAAGTATTCTGGGTTAGGAACTTCTGTGAGTAAAAGTCACCTCAGTCACTCTGTCCTGGGGTTTAGTGTTGCTCCTGGACATAAGAATTGCCCAGTATTTCCCTTCTCCTTCCCTGCCTCAGCCTGGCAGTGTTACAGAAAAGCAGTAATGAAGCTTTGTGAGTTGCCTTTGGATTTACCATTGTGTGTGTGTGCAGTGTCACGGAGCGGGAGCGGATCGGGATCCCCACGGAGCCAGAGTCTGCCGACAGCAATGCCTATCCCCCAGCAGTGGTCATCTACATGGTGGACCCTTTCACCTACACTGCAGATGAGGAATCTGCCTCAACCAACTTCTGGCTCTTGAGTTTGATGAGATGCTACACAGAAATGTTGGATAACTTGCCTGAGAATATGAGGAATTCTTTCATTCTCCAGGTAATTCTCCCCTCCTCTGCCCCTTCATGCTGAGAGTCTGTCACAGCACACTTGTGACATGTGCACTGTACTAACAGGTACAAAATGGGAGATAATATGTACAATTTAGGGGTCACTTGCAAATTATTTTGTTGATGGTACAAGTTTATATATTCAAAAAACCCTTTGCTTTTGTTTTGATGAGGAAACTAATTGGAAGCAGCCACAGTATCCCTGCATCAAATCCATGTTTCTAGCAATCCTAGCTGCTGCTTGGAGAGGGATTTCAATTATTTAACTTGCAGCTTGAGTTGCCACTGCCAAAACTGTCCACTTGCTCCTTTGATTGCTTTACATGTTGAGTTGTTTGCTTTTTATATTCCCTTGATTTATACTATTTAATCCAAAAGAAGTATGTGAAACCAGACATTTAATGCACAATATAACTATTGTGTAGTTATTATCTGCTTCTTAAAAATAATTTACCATGTAACTTGGCATATAGTAGTAGTTACTTACTGTGGAATTACTTAAGAATTGAGTTTGTGCAGCCAGAAGCAGCACTTGGCCCCTTGCCCAGCCTGCCTGCATTTTGCCAGGCCAACTCTGGCACAGAGGCTCAGGCTAAATCAGTGTGGGGGGAGCAGGGGCCAGAGGTCACCAGCTGTGCATGTAGTTGTGCAGCATGGGCAGGAGGCAGTGTGGGAAGGTTTTTTGGGAGGTTTTCAAGATGAGACTGGATGTGGCACTTAGTGCCATGGTCTAGTAACCACAGTAGGGTTAGACTCAATGATGTTTGAGGTCTCTTCCAACCAGGTTAATTCTGTGATTCTGTGATTTCTGTGTATCTTCTTCATGTGTGCTCACCTTGGCTTCAGTGTTTGAAATTATTTTAGCAAATGGAAGTGGAAGTTCTTGTGGTGTCTCAGATTGGGCATGGAAAACATCTGTTGGGTTTGATAGTCTTGACCTTATTGCTCTCTGAAAGGATGGAGGAAACTGTCACCAAAGCATTTCAGGCTTGGGGATGAACTGAAAATCTACTACAACTTAATGTCGTGGTAGAGTGCAGGCAGTGGGATTGATCCACACCTGGAGACACTGAAAGTGAAATAGTCACTGCTATCACAGTGATATGTGTATCAAGACCATGTAAACTGTGCACTGACATTGGGTCTGAGGCTGTGCCAGACAAGAGATGGTCTGACCCTCTTTCTGGTACTGTGTGTTCTCTGGGCACTTACCCTTTGCTTCTCAAAATGTGACATTTGGCCAGTGCAAGCCCAAAGAGCAGAGGGTTTTCTCTAGGTAAGGGGTAAATGATCTAGTTACCTGCACCATATTCTCACAACTGCACCACAGCACACACAAATATGCAGTTACTTCAAAATAAATCAACCCCAAATGTTTGCAGCTTTATTACAATTCCTGTGCAGAGAGGAAAAGCTCCTGAAATTCTTGGATAAAGCTGTCCTTCAAAAACTGTTCCAGTGGCTCAGGCAAGAACCATAAAGTAGTAAAAGTTTTGTGATACTTAAGTTTTATTACTACTGATATTAATTGTTGAAAGAATTTGCTTGAGTCTTGCAGTGTTGGCTATAGTATAAGTGTTTGGTATTGACAGTTTCTGCTCCAAAGATCTCACTGTAAAAGCCAAGACATTTCCACAGCCATGTGTGGGACTTGTACAATAAACATAGTCCATTAAAACAGTGAGGTTACAGGGATGTAATTTGAATTTTAAAATGGATTGGAATGGAAAACCTGATTTTTGTCATGCTTTGTTTACTTCTAAAGAAGCACTGTGCCATTTGTCCTTCCTGCTCCTGTTGTGCAGATGGGTCCTACCCACCACACTCACACCTCACAGGCAAATCTGAGTGTAGCTCTGGTTCTTGCTGGTTGAACATGTGAAGTCACATGTGTTGCTTCGCATGACTTTCTGAAACAAATCAAACTGAGCAGCAGCATAAGGTTGCTGAGTTTCCAGTGGTTATGGAATTGAAAAGGAGAAAAAAGCCACCCAAATCATTATGACAGAATCTTAATTCTACTCTCTATACTCCTCTCTCAGGAGTGTAGGACACCATAGTGGCAATTCCCACATGGTCAGCACACAATTCCTGATTCTGACCACAAACCATGGAGCCAAACCTGCCTGAACACAGTGGTCAGAGTTAAGGCTACCTGCAAATGAAGGTGTTGGTCAGACAAACAGTGGTATAAAATTCAAAGTGTTTGAATACAGGTGTTTGGTTTTGCACTGAGGATTTAAAAGGTTAAAATTCCCTTTCTCACTGTAATGGAAGCAGCAGCTTTGGCTCAGGGAATGCAGTCCCTGGGAGCTGCAGCCAGTCCTGCCCAAGGGCAGCAGCCCTGACAGGAGCTGCAGATGCTGCAATGCAAATAATGGAGTATCTCACAGTGTCCTGGGTGCTTAGTGACTAATGAATGTGGGAATCTGGTTTGATGTTAATGACCAGCTCTTGGAAGCCTTTCAATCCCATTTTATTGTTTCTGTGAATTATACAGATTGTGCCTTGCCAGTACATGCTGCAGACAATGAAGGATGAACAGGTTTTCTACATTCAGCACTTGAAGTCTTTGGCATTCTCGGTGTACTGCCAGTGCAGGAGGCCACTGCCCACACAGATCCACATCAAGTCTCTCACAGGCTTTGGGCCAGCTGCCAGCATTGAGATGACCCTCAAAAATCCTGAGGTTGGTATTGGTGGCAAGAAAATGAAAGTTTGTTAATAAACTCTAACCGCTTTCCTCAAATACCAAAACAAGAGTAGAGAAAATGCTTTCAGGAGAATTTTTTCAAGGTATAAAAGAGAACGATAATATAAAGGGAAAAGGCAAGCTAATACTAAACAGAAAATAGCAAGGAAAACATCAGACTGCTTGCTGTGAAAACATTTTAAGCTTTTGGGTTTGAGTCATAAACTAAAAGGTTAAAGATCAGTGTGAAAGAAGAGAAGATGTACATCATTACTTGGGATTCTGAGTTGTTTTATAGGTTTAGTCTGTAGTGCACCAGCAAGAGTTTGTGTCCAACCTTCATTTCTATACACATATATATGCATATATATGAAATAAGCTGCTGTGCCTAATTGCAGATGTTATATTAATTCCCTGGGGCAATGGAGAAATCCCCCTCTTCCAGGGGGCTTATCTTTCATCTGCTTTATAAACTGTAAATATTCAAGCCCTGTGTCTGGAATTTCAGGGATTTCAAAAGAAGAATAATCCATCCTACTTTCTATGAGTGCTTTGCATTCTTTGAAAGATAACGATGATGACTATTTTATTTAGATTTAATAGACCAGCGAAACACTTAACCACTTACCTTGGGATAAAGACCTGCTCAGTAGGCTTGAAAAACCTAGTTGCAAATTTGTCATAAACCCAAGGAGTCAGCATGTTCCAGTACTCACACAGAGCCATAAGCTCTCACTGGGAATTCCAAAGAGCAGCCAGACCCCTGGCATCTCCCCAGTCCCTTCCTCATGCTTCCCTCACAGAGGTGTGTGTGAGCAGGATGGATTTACAGCAAGTTACAACAGTCCTGCCTGAAGCTATTTAGGTGTGAGGGGTAAGGGTGATAAACTCACAAGTCCCCTGCAAGCTTCTCCCTCCCTTAACTGCTGTTCCTGCACTCCTGCCAGGGTGGGACATTTCTAGCAAGGGACAGGAGCAGGAACATGAGGTCCATTCCTGCCTCAGAGAAAACACCATCACTTACATTTCCTTTGAGCTCATTAACTTGCACTTTGCATTTCATGTTTAAGAATGAAGTGCATTCATTCTTAATGAAGAAAAAGATACAAAAGACATGAAAAAAGAGGCAAATATTTTCATGAGCCACTTGCTTTTAGCAAAATTAATTAACCAGGTCTCTGCTTTTTGCATTTTACACGCATTTGCTCTCAGTCTGCACTGCAGACTCCCAAACTTTGCTGAAAAATTAAGAAAATACCCTGACTGTTTCTTAATTATGGAACATGTCTGGTCAGACCCCTCTTGTTTGTTCTCCAGAGAGGAGTTACAAAGCAAAGATGGGTTTGGGGTGACCATGTGGGAAGCAGCTTTGCAGAAGCAGACCTGGAGGCCCTGTTGGACACGACAGATGTGAGCCAGCACTGTGCCCTCAAGCAGAGCATGCCAGCAGCAGATGGGCTGTTAGGAAGGTGCTGGCAGCACAGCCAGGGAGGGACCTGCTCTGCTCTCCTCTCCTCTGCACTGGTGAGGCCTCAGCTGGAATGTCCTGTGCCTGGTTCTGGGCTCCTCAGAACAAGAAACATGGATGTACTGCAGCAAATCCAGCCAAAGGCCTCAAAGGTCATTAAGGGACTGGAGCATTTCACAGCTGAGGAGGTTTAAACTCCTGCCTGTGTCAGACACTGGTCCAAAGACTGGTTTCATACCCTAGTTTACCTATAGAGAAATCTTTAGATAGAGTTTGAGGTGCATCAGCTTTAACTAGCAGCGATGAATTGTCTATAACTCCCCTTTTCCCAATCTCCCTCTTGACTAGGAGTGCTGTGAATTTCTTGTTTCCAGCTCACTTTTCTCTAAACCCAGTGCCAGTCTGTGTGTTTCTTGTGTTAAATAGTTTCCGATATATCTGCTGATGACTGTGTTGACTCTGTTGCAGAGGCCCAGCCCAATCCAGCTGTACTCACCTCCTTTCATCCTGGCACCCATCAAAGACAAACAGACAGAGCTGGGAGAAACCTTTGGAGAGGCCAGTCAGAAGTACAACGTGCTGTTTGTGGGGTACTGCCTGTCCCACGACCAGCGCTGGCTCCTGGCGTCCTGCACGGACCTGCACGGGGAACTGCTGGAGACCTGCATCGTCAACATCGACCTGCCCAACAGGTGCTGACCTGAGCTTCCACGGAGTGTCTGTGGCTGGAGGTGTCATCTTCTTGCACATTTCCCGCTGATGAGTTCATAATGTTACAGCAGTAACATTCCAGTTGGCACTTTGATAACTTTTGAAAGGCAGAGCAAAAAGGTTGGGGTTACAGTTGTTTTACAAGTGCTGCCTTACAAATCTTACCTTGAAGAACACCTGGTATGTTGCTCAGTGAAGTGACACCTCTTGATGTCACTGCAGTAACAATACTGAAAGCAGATACACAGTTTTTCTGTTTCCTGTTAGTAAAAGAACTGTACAGAACTGCACAGAGCTATAAGACCTCCTATAGAGGGTAACCAGTGACGTAATTGTAGAGACTAGAAGTTATTCTCCTTCATTCTTTTCTCACTTTCTTTTTTCTTCCTTAACCTCCAGGTCAAGGAGGAGCAAGTTGTCTGCCCGTAAAATTGGTCTGCAGAAGCTCTGGGAATGGTGCATTGGCATTGTACAGATGACATCACTGCCTTGGAGAGTCGTGATCGGGCGGCTGGGCCGGCTGGGCCACGGGGAGCTGAAAGGTATGGAGTCAGTGGGGCCACACCTGGGGGGGTGCAGTGGAGATACAGCCCCAGGGTGTGAGGCTGCATGACTCAGAACTGATCACCAACATGTAAACCTAAAAAACTGAGAGTGCTAATCTTGCCCTGGCACTGAATGTTTGTGTTGGTTTGTGTAATGTTACTCCCTTGTGCTGTGCAGTCACTGAGATTTGCACAGTGTCCTTCCAAGTCAAGTCCTCCTCACATCTTGGAAAAAGTTCTGAACAGCAGTTACCCTGTCACAGAAATAGACAGGATTCAAGTCTGATTCATCAACTTAAACATCACTAAACCCCAAACAAATTCTTGTAAAAAAAAGTTATTGAACAAAAGAAATCCAGCAAAGTGCCATGGAATGAAACACTGCACAGGAACTCTTTGATCAGCCCATTTGCAGGGCCTGACTCTTTGAGTGCACAGGGAGGCAGAATGGAAGAGTTTGGGGTTAGGGAAATGCAAAGTGTTAGGAATGTTTTGCTGTTTCCAAGCGAGTGCTGGCCCTGTCAGCACTCCATTGCCTTCTGTCCTACCATGATGCTTATTCCTTCCAGACTGGAGTATCCTCCTTGGGGAGTGTTCCCTGCAGACAATCAGCAAACAGCTAAAGGAGGTGTGCCGCATGTGTGGCATCTCAGCAGCAGACTCCCCCTCCATCCTCAGTGCCTGCCTAGTTGCCATGGAGCCACAGGGATCATTCGTGGTGATGCCAGGTACGTTTCCTCCAGTATTGCAATGCCAGTGGAACTTTTATCCTACCACATAAGCACAGTAATCTTGGGAGACTTTGGAGTCCAAGACCACCTTGGCTTGCATGGCTACATATGGCAGAAAATAGGTTGAGCCAGTGGAATTCCCCAAAATACCATGGAGAGATGCTATACTGGGAGTGCAGGCTCTGGGGGAAGATGACTCTATGCCACTGTGAGCTGCTGACCTTTTCCCTGGGGAGGTCATGGGTTTGGGCAGGCCATTCCCATCAGCTTCAGGGTGGTGTTGCAGACACCCTCATGCATGGAGGAGTCTGCAGTGGGAAAGAATAGGAGCCTGTGGAAATGGGAATAAGAGTAAACCCACTTGCCTTCTCATGTGCTGAAGTTACTTACAGTTGGCTTACAAGTCCATGGGGTTAGGTTGAAATAAAATTGAATCTGGAGGTTCCCTTGACTTACTTGCTGTATTACCTAAGCACATACAAATCTATGTGGAGGCATATCCTTACCATATCCTTACAAACCACTCTGGGGGTTTTTTTACATTTAGAAAGAAAAGATTAGTACGTGGAACAAAATTAGTTGTGCTTGAAAATTACTCATCAAGATGAATGTTGTCAAAGCAGGGATTTTGTTACATGAGAGAAGAGATGGCAAGTGAGGCTTCTTTCATATCAACCCAAGTGGGGTGTCTTTCATAATTGTACAGAGATGTGTGCGAAAAATTAATTTAACTTGCTCATTAAACAAGTAAATATTTGATTAAGGGGTGGCAGGATGGCAGGAAAGGTGGGGCTGAGCATTGTCTGTGCAACTGGTCATCTTCATGCCAGGCTCTTCTAGCAATTTATTCTGTTGAAGCAAAGACCCTTAATGTGTGTATGAGCTTGCAAGCCAGGTGAGATGGACAGAAATGTAGCTGCACACAGAACATATATTTGGAAGATGATGCAAAGTAACATCTCAGCTGTTGTTTCTGTCCTGGCAGATGCTGTCACGATGGGCTCGGTGTTTGGCCGGAGCACTGCGCTGAACCTGCAGTCATCTCAGCTCAACACCCCTCAGGATGCCTCCTGTACACACATCCTGGTTTTCCCAACCTCTGCTACTATCCAGGTGGCACCAGCAAATTACCCCAATGAGGATGGGTTCAGCCCTACCAACGGTGAGTGAGCACATGGCTGTGGGAGAGGTGAAACACCAAAGTGCTCAGGGGCCTTTCTGGAATGTCAGCAGAGCTGAGTCAGGAGGGAATAACAACCCAAGTGGGGCTTGGGTTACAGGACAGTATTCTATGCTTTCCCTGAGTCTGCTTTCAGATCATCACACTAATTTATTCCCAAAGAAGCATGGACCAGCCAATACACGATGTGGCACAGACTAGAAAAGGCTTTTTCTTGTGGTTGTGGCTTGGTCAGGCCAATGTGTGTTTTACAGTTGTGGTTCACCTGGTGCCCTGTTGTGTACAGAGCTGTGAGGAAGGAGGTACTTGTAGCATTCTGACCTCCCTGTAAAGTAGGTAAAACAGCCCAAGCTGAGACTTCCTTATGCCCCCAGAGTGCTTCTGCACACACATTGAACCCTACAGCGTGTGTCAGCAAGACTCTGGTTAATATTTTCTGTCAAATAAGCATTTTCCTAACTGTTTTGTCACAAAGCCTTTAAATGATTGCAAAGTAATTTAAACCAAGAGTAGCTACAAGCACTTACAGTACAACTCTGTAATGAGGAGGGCAGTTAGAATAGGGAGGAAGGCAGCCCCACTAGTTTTAAGGCTTTGATCTGTTCCTCCTGGAATGTCAGAGGGCCTCACAGAGGGAAGTTGCCCCTCTCCTACCTGAGCAGCTGTCCCTTGGAGGCCCCAGAATCCTGCCTGACGCTGTGCTGACAAACATTAACCTGTGCTAACCTGCCCTTTGGTGCTGCAGATGCTAATTACAGTCAGGTACAACAACTGCCCTTTTCCAAAACGGTGTTAAATTTAATTTTCTTAACTCTGTTCTACTTAATGATTAAACTGCTTCCTATGCTATTAGCCAGCTCATTTATGCTTTTGAGGCGAAGCAGAGCATGACATGAGCCCTGTTTTGTTTACTGAGGCTGTAGGACAGAAGTTAATAAAATTCAGTTAAGTCTTTGCTCTGGCAGTTCAGAGGTTCTCCTCAGGAGGTGACAGAAAACAACCACCTGCCTGTTTTACTACTGGAGCTTCAGGTGAAATTTCATCAGGACATACATCCTTTCCCATTTTTTGTGGAGTAAAGTCCTCTTTTTCAGGAGAAATTGTTATTTATTATGTGTAGAACGCATGACTTCTCTTTGAGGCTTCATGTTTTAGAATGAATTTGGCTGCAATTCTAATTAATCCCGTTAATTCAGACAGCTCCCAGTGTCCCTTTCTGCCCCTAAAATGTGCTTTAAATGTCATTATACACTTTAAATATTTTTCCCTGCTGAGAAATCTGGATAAGGAAAACCCCTATAAACCACACTGTGATGGTTGTAATTTTTGCTGTGTTTATGGTGCCTTATCCTTCCACCACATAACTTACTCGTGGTATTGTAACCCATGTGCAGGTGACTGAGCAGCAGGCAAACACATCTTCCCTGCATCTTTAGCCCTTCCCACATATTAGCACAAACCAAATTAAAGCAGCCAACTATGATGATAAAGCTGTGTTGAATTCCTGAGATGAAAGTCAAATAGAAAAGCTGCATTGTAGGGAATCCTGGTACCTGTTGGAAGTCCATTGCCTGTGAGTGGGGCCTTGGTGCCCTCCTGGATCCTGCAGGCAGTTTCCTTGGAGCTGCCAGGGCTGCTCCCAGGGTGTTTGGGGCAAATGTGCCAAAGTGCTGGTGTGCAGCAGTGGGAGCCTGAGGAGAAGCACCTGCTGGAGTAAGACGAGGTGTGTTTAATGGATGTCAAGTGTTTGTTAACAGGTTTCTGTGACCAGCTGCAGAGAGGTGTCAGTTGCTCTGTTACAAAGTTCAGTCAGGATTTTTATGGAGCTGGTATGACAGGATCTTTGTTCACTCTACAGCCATTGCTAAAATTCATTATGTTAATAGATGTATGCCAACTTCTCCTTTCAAGTCTGTGTGGTTGCAGTCAAAGGTACTAAGGAGGGTTAAGCAGTAAAATGTTTATCTCTGCTTTCATCTGTCTTGAGAGTATGTAGGAAAAAGGGGAATGATAATAAATTAAAGGGAATGGTAATAAATTACCAACATTTCTTAAAAAAAAAAAAAAGAGTACAGCACACTGGAAATGATTTTGCTTTCTTTTCAGATGACATGTTCGACCTCCCGTTCCCAGATGACATGGACAATGACATCAGAATTTTGATAACAGGGAATCTTCACTCTTCACCAAATTCCTCCCCAGTTCCTTCCCCTGGATCACCATCTGGCATTGGAGTGGGATCTCACTACCATCACAGCAGGGTAAGGCTGGAGCACCACATACACTGCTGAAAATGAAACACAAAGTCTGACCCAAATCCTGCAACAAAATCTTTTTTCCTGTAGATTCTCACACATAATTAGGTCGACAGCAAACAGTAATTAGGTTTAAATCAAAGGTGCTGGTAAAACTCTGCTGCAGAAGATGCCTCTGCAGTGGCTGTTTGCATCTCTGAAGTTAATTGTTGGTGTACAAGATAATTGAGAGGCAGAGAGAAGGAGAAGCTTTATTTCTGTGTGGCAAAGCCACAGCTGATGACCCTGCACACATTTAATCTGTGCTCATCCCTTTTTTCCTGGAAAGTCAGATGAATGTCCCTGGCACAAAGTGACAAGTCTTTGAGAGAAAGGAAGCTGACAGCCCTGTTCCCATGGATTTCAGGGGAGGCAGGAGGGAGATAATTCTCCCAGAGATGAAACCCTGCCCGTGGAAACTCCACAGGTGCTGGATGGTTATGCAAATGTTGTTTGCTTAGGAATATTTAGCCCAGAGCACACAGAGTTTGTAAGTTATTTGTGTTTGAAGTGGCTTTTATAAAGTCAGTTCCAACATCAGTGATTCCTTAAAATGCAAATTTTTTTTGGTAATTCAAGGGGTTTTTTTGAATTGGCCATGGCATAACTTGGATCACGTTCGATGGAACTCTTTGACTCCTACATTTAGTTGTGTTCTCTTAAAATGGTTTCCATCACAATTAGATAGAAGTTTGATGCTTCATAATTTCCTGTGGAGAAGTTTTATTCTAGAAACAGCAGCAAATTACTTCTTTACTAAATAATACAGCATTTTATTTCAGAAACAGAATAACTTTTAGCAGGAACAGATAACCCCCTGCATTGAAAAGTTCTGGGTTAGTGATCTGAGTAATTTCATTGGATCTGGATCTGGGACTGTCACTGGTGGCTTTAAGGTCTTAGGAGAAACTATAAATGTGGCAGGAGTGGAAGTACACGAGAGATCCTCAGAGGTGTAGGTACAGCTAGGATACTGACCCGTGAATGATGCCGCTCATTCAGCCTCTGCAGCAGGGCACAGCATTTTTGACATGTGAACAGGATGTCTTGAGAAGAGAATTCTCACAGCATGAAGATGACTGACTGAATGGTGGTAGTTTCACCCCCTGGATGGAAAAGATCTGCCTGTATTCTCTTTGCAACCTCTGCCAAAATGCTTCCATGGCCAGCTTCATACAGTCTGAGGGCAAAACCACTCCTGGGTCAGCCACAGAAATGCTAACACTGCATTTTGTGATCTCAGTCCACAACCACCTTCTGTAAATTCTGCAACTCACCCTTCAGAAGCTGAATAATGGCAGATTGCTGTCCCCTGGTTGTTTCTAACTGCTGTGTGGGCAAATGAGAAGTTCTAAATACTGTTACCAAACCCTCCAGCCATAAATCACAGCTCCTCACTCAGGACACTTTGTCTTCTTCAGTTCACTCAGCAACTTCTGTTCTGTACCACTTCTAGAAACACTTCTACAGAACTCTCTCAGTAGAGCTACATCCCCATGGCTTAGGAACAGCACTGAGAGGTTAATGGCCAAGAGCCCAGGGACGTGGACAAGCCACTTCCAGCTCAACCTGTCGGAGTAATTCAGTTTAACCATTAACACAGGCCTAGTAATTGCAGTGTAATTCTTGGTTTTAACAAAGCAGCAGCGTGTGATCATCCCCTCGTGGGTGGGGGAGGTCAGGCCCTGCTCCCTGCAGGCTGTAATTGATTGCTGGGGGAACAGTGAGCACAGGCAGCTCAGCACCTCCTCAGGTGTGCTGCCTGGCCTGGTGCTGCAGCCTGCTCCAGGCTCCAGGGAGTTTACTGCCTTTCATTCCTCATCAGGGCACTGCTGCTGCAGAAGGACCCGCTGGAAGGGACTGGCAGGGATGGATTTGTGGCTGAGCTGGTCTCTACACAATGGAATCTTTTTCTCTAACCTGCTGATGTGAAAGACATTTATGGATTCATGAATTGTTCTCAGTTGTGCAAGGGGAAATTAGAAATTAAAAAAGTGTGCAGGCATCTTTTAGGATGTTCTTCTGTGAAATAAAATAAGGAAGTGTTTCTAAAACAACCAAAGGCATTTAAAATTGGAATGCACTGTGGAATGGACCAGCAGGCACCTCAGGGAGATCCCTGTGGATCATGATAGCTAAGGGTGTGTGTATACACACTCAGGATGAGGTAGGGCAGCTCACACCAAGCACTCCTGTCCCACAGCCTCAGGTATGGAAGGTCCAACTCGGTTTTACTCTACAGAAATAAAACCACACACACCCATGGTGACAGGTAGTGACTCAGAGTCTGAAGAAATGAGTTTTGCAGCCCATTTCTGGTTGTTTAACTCTCTCATCTCCAAATAACTCTCTGGCCCTTATATAACAACATGAGTAACTAATACTGCAAAAATACAGTCTGTCAATAAATAATATAAATGGCAAAGCAGGACAGCTGTTTGGTGTTCCTCGTGCTTCCCCTGCCTGGTGCTACCAATATAATCCTAGCACAGTAAACTTCTGTGCAAATGGCCAGGGCAAGGAGAGAGGTGCAGCAATTTTTTCCAAAGCCACCAGTGTAACTGACTGAAAAAGCAACACAACCAAACTTATATGGATGCAGATACTCTGTTCTTTCACATTTGAGTGTGTCCCACACATCCTTCCAGGCCAGAAAGACGTGCAGTGCAAAGTGCTGCTTGGATGTGTGTGGGGAAAGCCTATGAGGGTTTATAAACTCCAATTCCACACTGCTCTGCTCTCCACAGACACACAGGAAGCTGTTCAGGTTCACAGCCAGAGCCCAGTACTCTTCAGTTACTCTGTAGCATCAAATTCCACATGTTCTTTGTTCAGTTTAGGAGGCTAACATTGCTGTTTGGGAATCTGCAGTGCTTCTGGAGCATAAGCCTGGAGAACCCAACTACAGGGGAAAAAAGAAGGACTAACTTGGACTAAGAGTGATGAATGACTAAAGGGAGGCACATTTGTCATAAGACAGTAATTAGTAAACAAAATCACTTCCTGGAGTGGGATGTAGTTGCATAAACCTGCACAAACCTCTGTCTTCTCATCTCTTTCAGAGCCAAGGGGAACGTCTTCTCTCCAGAGAAGCCCCTGAAGAGCTGAAGCAGCAGCCTCTTGCTCTTGGATACTTCGTGTCGACTGCCAAAGCTGAGAATCTTCCACAGTGGTTCTGGTCATCCTGTCCTCAGGCACAGAACCAGTGTCCCCTCTTCCTGAAGGTCTGTCATGCTCCAAAGAAAGCATTCAATATCCATGTTTGTTACCCTGGTTGTAAAATTGCACACTGGAGTCTGTAGTGTCAGAGTGAACCTGGTACTGCAGAACTGCAGGTGCTTGAGGGACATACACAGCAGATCTGGTACAACTGCTAGAGATTCACTGAGCCCTGTGGAGTCTCTTGCAGCTTCTGAGTGAATCACAAAATGTGAACTAGTGAGCATGGAAAATGGGGGGAAAATCTGCCTAGAATGGCATCACATAACCATCTGAACAAACAACATAGAGAATAATAAAGTTACTACTTCCTACCTAATCCATTCCCAGTTTAACTAATCCTAAACACATTTGAAAGTCTCTTAACTAAATTCTTCCCTGATGCAAACAGAGACATTTCAGGACTGATGTTGGCAATGCCCCACAGGATGGCAGGCTGTGTGCTTAGCCAGCACCTCACAAGCCAGACACTGAGCCCTTCCTGCACACATGTCCCTGTAGTGTGTGTATTTCTTTAAATCTGCAAAATGGAGATGTCAAAGTTCTGTCAAAAATCAACCACAGTGGTTTTGGAGCTAGAGATGAAGTTTTGTGCTAAACTTAAAGCTCCCCTTTTTTTTTTTTTTTTTTTTAATGAGCACTGCAAAGGCTGTTTCACTTCCAGCAGTAAAAAGTCAGCAGAGCTCCAGGCAATGTGATGAATTCCTTCTGTAAGCTTATACTAGATGCGCACTAGAGAGAGGAGCCACCACCCTTCCCTACCTCAGCCCCAGCCCAGCACAGTTGCTTTCTCAGATCTAGGCTGAATTAAGAGTTTGATTTGACTTGGAACATTCTGGTTTGGTTTGGACAAGGTTCACTGAAAGCAAGTGGCTGCATTCATGCAGCAACTTGTACCATGCAGCAAGAGGTGCTGGCTCCTCTGTGCTGCAGTGAGGAACCTGCTGCAGCATGTGAGGCCTTCGGTCCCATCAGCCTGGGATGACGTGGAGTAAGGACTTGTGAGCTGGACTATTTCCCCTCTGATGTATATGCCAGAGTTGGAGGAGTGTAAATCCCTTCCCTGCTCCTGCAGCCTTTCTCCAGAGGGGTGAGGCAGCCTGGGAAGGTGTGCCAGCAGAGAGCAGGACAAGGGCTGTGCCAGTGCCTGTGTTCTGCACACACAGCTGCCACCTTTCCATGCTGTCCTGAGGTGATTCAGACTTTGTTCCCTGGGAATCTTTAGCAGTACTTGCCATATGAGGAGTTAATTTTTCCTTCCTTCCTCTGCACAGGCCTCACTCCATCACCACATCTCTGTAGCGCAGACGGACGAGCTTCTACCTGCCAGAAATTCTCAGCGAGTTCCTCATCCCCTTGACTCTAAAACTACATCAGATGTCTTGAGGTAACACCTTTTAGGCTTTGCATTTCCTCCCTAAAGCTGTGGGGACTGAGCTCGGAGGGTTCAGAGGGACCTTTGAAACCTGACAGAAGTATTTAGTAGTTTTATCAATTACTGTGCCCTATATGTGTGTCTCAGGGCAGTGGGCATCTCCTCCCCCCAGAGCAGGGCTTTGAGGGGACTTCAGCAGGTTTCTTACTGCTGGTACAGTGATACAAAGGAAACTCAGAAACAGCACAGCCTTGCCAAGGAGACACCTTGGTTTGCCTCCCACAGATTGCTCTGTTCCCTTTGGGTCTAATCTGGGCTGTCACCAATTATTTTTACTCACCAAGTGGATTTGTACAAGGAGATAAAAGGGCTCCTAGGAATTGGGATATAAAAGAGGCATTGCTCCAGAATTAATACAGAGGGTGTGTTGTATTGTTCAGGATAACTAGTTTGCCTCCATCCCACCTGAACACAGGTCTGTGTTAGGAGGCAGCACACAGTGCAGGACACACCACTGGACAAAGGGAGTATCAGCAGGGAACATGGGGAATAATCTCAGTTAAGGAAATTGGTGATGTGTTATTGTAGAAGATCTGAATCAGCTTAGAGGACTGAGCTCTCATAGCTGCCTTGGGGTGTTGAGTAAAAGGAGGAAAGGATGAGATGCAAGAGACACAAGTTACAAGATGAGTAATTCTAATTAGCTACAGGATCACAGAACCAGTGTGATCAAATACTGCCACAGGTTGCCAGAGAGTGTGGAACACCTTAGAGGTGTTCAAGCCTCAAGGCTTTGAAGGCAGTGGCATTTGAACCTCTTTGTGTCCATAGTCTCTGCTATGCACTGGGGAGGGCCCACCGTCAAATGACTTGATTCGAGTTCAAACATAGCAAAACTGAAAATTCCTCCTCCTCACTGAGATTCCTACTTTGCCAACACCACTGGCAGTCCCGTGGCTGTGTATGTCCAGGAGAACCCAGAGGCACCTGTGGGTAAAGCTGCTGGAAGAGCCAGGAGGTGCAGGAGTAAAGAGTTGCCGTTTGTGTCCTGCAGGTTCGTGCTGGAGCAGTACAACGCGCTGTCCTGGCTCACCTGTAACCCTGCCACTCAGGACCGCAGCTCCTGCCTTCCTGTCCACTTCGTGGTGCTCACTCAGCTGTACAATGCCATCATGAACATACTGTAATAGATAGCAAAGCACTTGTTCTTCTTCTGGCTTCTTCTCCCCTCGACCTGAGAAACGTGCCACAACCTGCAAAGATCACGGTTTTGCTTCTCTTCAGACCAGTCCTGTGCTGTGCTTCTGTTCCTCCAAAAGCACATGTGAATTCTGCAGTGTTCAAAACTAAACTACCCATTGACATCTCTGGCAGCTTCAGTCCAAAATCTGGGAACATCCAAGAACAGTGAACACAGAGTAACCTCAAGCCAGTGTTAGTTTGGTGGCCCAGTAACTACTGGTCAGTGTGATTATTTTTTTTACTATTTTATTTTTTTAAGGAAGACTACAGGATCTTTTTGCATTAGGAACTCTGATAAACAACCAAGGGCGGGCTCAGTCCTGCCAGTAAAACCACCTTGTAGTGACCAGTTTGGGTGTTTTGTCGTTTGGTCGTCGTTAAACTGGGACTTTGCAGGAGTTGAAAAACCACAAAAACAAACCCACACAGTTGTAGTCTCGTATAAATATTGGAGTTTTCTGTCTACCTGGAGTTCCTGTCAGAGTGGATTGGGATGAATGCATGCATTTGTTACCTGTCCATGTAGATATGAATGGTCTGGAGATACTTTATTTATTTTTAGGTTTGGGGAGGGGAGGGATTAAATTATAAAGGACCAGGAACAGTAGAATATCTTCCAAATCAGCTCCGTTCCACTGGAGGGTTGTTTATCTACAGACCTCTCACTCTTCTGACCTAGAAATCACAAGTGAAGCTCATAACAATCAAAGTCTTGGGAAGGGAAGTGTGTTCTGGTAAGGATCTATGGTGTGTTAAGGAATTCTCACCTGTGTTCAGCCTGGTTAAAGCAAGGAATGGCCAGTGGTTAATGAAGGATAACACTACCTAACGGGGAAGAGTGAGAGAGAGGGAGGGAGGAAAAATACTTTAAAGCCCAACGGAAGGGCAAGTGGAAAGTGGTAAATTAATCTATTGTAGAGCTCTGATTGAAATATATTTCCAGTCAATTTAGTGATGCTAGGAAGCTCTTTAGGGAACGCCGAGTCGCCCTGGAGTCTTGGGCAGGCTCATCCATGTACATATCCAAACAGATGGTTTGTGTTTACACTAAAATCCATGACAAATCTGGTGTATTTTTTCTGACTATAGGAATATTATTTCAAAGAAATAATTTTTACAAATTATATCATGAAATTAGTACTTGAAGTTAAAAACCACTGTGGTGGCAAAGTTACTTTGTCTAGTGAAATGATTGCCATTGGAAAGGTTAATGGCTAATTGAAGTATTTTTATGACTCCTTCATTCCAGGCTCCGAGGGGTTTATGGTTAAGCCCCATTTTTCCCAGTGTTTAGGGGGGCAGGGACAGCCAGAGCTGCTCTGCCCCAGGGGTCAGGCACTTTGGTTGGGCTGGCTGGGACCTACTTACCTATCTGTGGAGAAAAAAAAAAAAAAAAAACCCTACCAATTTTGAAGTTCTTCCAAAAGACTCTCATGTTCTGGTTAAAAAAAAAAAGGAAATTCTATGATTTTAAAAAGTATTTTTCTTGAGATAATGTAACATTTAAAGCAAATTATATAAAAGAATAAAAAAATAAAAAAAAAAAGACTTGCTTGTATAAGGAGAAGGTGAAGGCAGAGGAGGAACCTGTAAATGGCTGATTTCCCTCCCTGCACCACAGCTCCAGGTGGGGAATTCTCTTTGCAATGTATAGGTTAAAAAAAAAAAAATCTGATATCAAACCATTTGTATCTAATGTGTACAGTGTAAAATTGACTTTAAAAATATTGCAGTACTATTTTTTCTTAATCAGAAAAGAAAATTCTCAAGGCCTTTTGAAGAGCATAAAAAAAAAAAGATGAAGATTGTAAACTTGTATAAAAAAAAAAATTTAACTTGGGGAGGAAAATAATGTAAAGTAAACCTTTGTAATCTTTTACCATGTGGGGGTTATTTGTTCCCAGGACTCATCGGAACTTTGGATCATTATTTTGTTTATTGTTTTTAAATGGGCTGTTTTTATCCAGGGGTGTTTCTTCCCCAGAAACCTGGTTCTAAGCAAAAATCAGAAATAAAAAAAAGGGCAGCAAGGAGTAGTTTTCATCTGGTGTCTTTTATTTAATTTTTTTAAGTTAAGAGAAGCTGGTGACATATTTATACGTTTTTGTGCAAAATAAATGAATGGCAATAGATTTTAAAGAAAAAAATCTTATGTACTTCAGTGTGAAAAGTTCTGTATAATATTTCCCTTAAATATGCATTATTTTACTTGTGAGTTTTTTACTGAATTAATCTGAAATGTACAAGCCCTGGCTTTCCTACAGAGTGAAGAAAGTTATTTTATTTTATTTTTTTGTTTTGGTTTTTTTTTTTTTTAATTTCTAACTTTGGAAAAATCATGCCTAAATCAGAATTATTATTACAGTTGTTTGAGCTAAAGGGCGTGGGAGGGGGTGGGCAATGTCCAGCATGCTTGTCTGTATATTTCAGAACCTTTTTTAAATGTAAAAGCTGTACATTTCTGGGGAGTTCTGAAGTTCTTTTTGGTTTTTTTGTTGGTTTTTTTTTTTTGGGTTTTTTTTTTTTTTGTTTCTTTTGTTTTCTTTTTGTTTTGTTTTGTTTTTCTCTGAGCATTTTGCAGTGAGCTTCTTTTATATATAGCCAACAATTTGAAAGAAAACAACAAAAAAAAATGTGAAGTTCATTTTAAATCTACAGTATATCGCTGGTACAATACACTAAAAAAAAAAGACTTTGATAAAAAGAAACAATAATAATAAAAGACCTCCATTTTAAATGTCATTCATATATACCTTGTGGATGAGAGCTATATACTTTTACACACTTTTTTAGATGAATAAATTATTGAATTACTGAAACTGTTGGTGGAGTTTTAGTCTTGTGAGTGTTGAGGTTTTGGCGCAGGAGGGATTGGCTTCCAAGGGCAGATCCATGGGATGTGAGCAGGACTGGGAAGGAAGTGTGTAAAACTGTCGTGAGGGGAAATTTGGTGCCACTGATGTAAACACTGAGATGAGCAGATGTGAAATATTGCCACAGTGGGGGTGGAAGCAGCCTGGGATAATCCAGTGCCTCAGGAGCAGCAGCTGCTTGTCATGAGCAGCTCCAAACACAAAGGTTCACCAGTTAGGGATGAATTTGTCTGCACCAGGTAAGTCTCTAGAGGGAGATGCCAGTTGTCTCCTCCTCCCTTGCACAGGGAGGGGAAGGCTGCAGGGCAGTCAGCCCTGGATGAGAGGGAATATGGAATCAGACCAAACACCTGTGGCTTCCCAGGGAAGCTGTAGAATTCCCATCCCAGAGGAGTTGAAGGCTCAACAGATCCATCACTGAGCAATGATTCTTGGGGTGTCCTGTGCATGACCAGGAGTTGGACTCATGGTCCTTGTGGGGCCCTTCCAGCTGAGGATATTCCATGATCCTGTGATGGTTGTACCTGCTGTGACAGGGCCTGGGTTGGACTGTTGGACCCCCAGAGGTCTCTTCAGCCCCAGACACTCAGTGTTGAGCAGGGTCATTCCTAAACAAAGCAAAACCAGTGCTCAGTAAACTCCAGCCTGAGCCCTCTCAGTGCTGCACCTTAACAGGACCAGAGGCCTATTCCACATTCAGCTCCCATAACAATAGTTCTGGAAAAAACTTAAAACAGAATCTTCAGCTAATGTATTATTTTCTGCACTTGAAGAAGGGACAGATCTGTGTCCTCCTAAGTGCATTTTAAATACTCTTAGACAAAAAAAAAGCAACAGCAAAGTAGAGCCTGCCCCTTCCATCCTCCCCTGTGGTGTCCAGCCCAGCTCTGGCCAGCACAAATGCTTTACAGCTCATCTTTGTAGCTCACTCCCTTGCTGAGTATCCTTAAAGAATTCCTTTTCCAAGAGGATCTGGAGCTTGTATGTGCATCCAGTGAGAGCTCTGGTGACTGGATGGAGGAATTGCCACTCTGCTCCATGGCTCTTTCATTGCCACTTGGGATTTCCTTAGTAGTTGCTAATTCTAGTCCACTTGAATTTTGGTGCACTTTCTTTTTGAATTTAGATAGTTAACAAAACCAGCTCCTAAGATTTTTGCCTTGTTTTTAAAACTTTCCAGCTTGTATCTTTTAGTTCATTTAGCTATTGGTAAATGATGGTGCTGACACTGTACAATTCCCTTGTACAAGTTCCTACAGTCCAGTTTGCAGCTTTCCCTGTGAGTGCTGTGAGTACCTGGAATTGCTACACAGCAATATTGTTTAAATGGGCATCACTTTGTGGCTAATTCATTGGCTTTAAAGACAAAACTGACAATTAAGTGTTCTGTTCCATGAGGACTGCAAGGAAGAACTGAATGAAAACACTAAAATCTCAGTTGATTTGTAACTGTAACAGAGTATTTATGATAGGTGGGGATAGTAATGTGGTGATGGGATTTTAATACCAATACAGAAGATGTTTTTGAAGTTTAGGCTGATGTTAAACTACTACTCCTTTCCCAACTGCCATTTCTATTTCTGGCACAGCATCACAACCACCTGAAAACAATTTCAGCACATGTAGAAAGCATCAGAAATCCTGAAAGTAAACATGAGGTTTATGGCCAGTCTCTCACCATTTACAGTGGAAATGGAAACACCTCTGAGATCCCCAAACAGGAAGTCTTTGGTCTGGAACAACAAAGCAGGATTTACAAAATTACGCAGCTTCCACTTCCCTGTTTTGAAACTGAACCTCAGCACTGACAAATGTTTACGTGGGCAGCTCTGCTTTGTGCTCTGCTGCCTGTTCCCCCACCAGGTATCGAAGCTCAGTCCCATGGGGCTTCCCAGGGGATATGGAAAGCTCAGCACTGTTTTACTGGAACTTGAAATGCTCCTCAAGCACCTGGAAGAAGATGCCACCAGCCTGAGGGAGAAGGCAGTGCTGATCACAGCCTGCCCTGAGCTGTCTAGCTGAGGTCTGACCTGAGCTCTGCTCCAGGCTCTGCAGGTTCCATTCCACGCTCTGCCCCACACCAGGCCCTGGCAGCCAACTGGCAGTCTGACCATGTATAAGCACAGCCAATGGAGCTTATATAAGCTAAAAAAATATAATACGTGCTCATCTATCTTGTAAGCATTAGCTTTTTTGCCCGTAAGAATTACTTATTAAAACCTTTCAGGATTATACCATTAAAAAACCAACAAACCCCCCCAAAAAGCTTAGCATGAGGACCCCTCTGCAGCAAGCCAGCAGGGACACTGTGACTGCCAGGAACTCTTTCTACAGAGTATCTTTTGGGGTCCTGCAACACCTGCTGAATCCATGGCTCTCTCTGCTTGCTCCACAATGTGCCCCTGAGCCCCAGGACCTGCTGCAGTTCCAGAAAGCTTTGCCAGACTCTCACAGGGATTTGAGGACACTACAGCAGCCTCTGCTGTTAACACCTTCTCCCAAAGCCATGGCTCTTTCTTCAGTTCTTAACCAACCTGGTACCCAGACACCTCCTCTGCCTTCCCACCCCAGGTGTGTGGGGTCTTTCCTGCCACACACACACCTTTTGCTGTTGGACAGACGTTTCATTTCAGAAATACCTACTGCAGGATCTTTGTCATCTATAC